ATATATATATATATATATATATATATTTCGTTGTATGTGGATACAGTACCTTTATTTTATTTATTTTTATGTGGTGCTGAGGATGGAACTCAGTACTTCACTCATTCTAGGGAAGCACTTTATCACTGAGCTACAACCCCAGCCTCAGGAAGTTTTTTCTTTACCAAGGAAAACAGACTGTCAGGGGACCTCAGGTCACTGGGCTCAGCTGAATGGGGGATTTGGAAGTGCAGAAGACTGATCAAGAGAATAACTATCTCCTGGAAACTGAGAGCCCAAAGCTCTTACTCCACTTCTCCCCCCATCCCTGGAGACTCAGTATCCACCATCCAGATGGGCAGGGCCCTGGAACAGTCTTCCTGAACAGCCCAATAGGAACAAACAAACAACAATAAGATTCTAACAGCTTTCTTCATGTGAATGACACATCCAGTTCCCATCATGGCCAATAAAACCCTCCCCTGGGCTCAGACCTCCAGTGAACTTTGTGCCCTGATATTATAATGTGAGCAGGAAACCAAGAATGTCCATAAATAAAGAGGAAATCATCTAATGTGAAAGAGCGATTCATACACGCCAGGAGAAACAGCAAGTGGACAATACAGAAACCATAAAGAGAGAATAAATTACCACTTCGGTGCTCAAATCAGAGATGGCCGTGGGACCAGGGAAACACTGTATCTAGTAACAGAACAGTCAAGACCATGAGAGATGGAAAAGGGGCCTTTGAAAAATGATAGAAGAGATGAAAAAACCCAAAAATCATTTTGGAGGGTAAAGATAAAGTAGTATTCTATAAAGAAAAGCAAAAGATGAAAATATGAGATAAAGGATAAGAAGCTTGATGTTGAATATCAGAACTTGTATCCAAACCACAGGAGAGCCAGCAAGAGAGGAAGGAAAAAAATGGAGAAGAAACAACCAACAGAGTCATTGGGAAATTTTCTAAAACAAAAGTCTTTGCTTTACAGATTAAAATATAATTTTTTACCCAAATGACCCAAACTTAAGGATGTCATTGTGCCCTTCCACAATGCTGGGCAAAGAGGAGGTCCTCAAAGCTGCCTGCAGATGATTTTACAGATCACAAGTAAGGGAGAGAAAAGAGACTGGAAGAGAGAGCACATGAAGCTTCCCATTCAATTCTGAAGCAAAATTGTTCCCAGCCTAAACTTTTCGTCAAACTTCTAACCAGGCTTGAGGGTAGCATTAAGATGCTTATGGTGATAACAGCACCAGACATTGGCCCTGTGTGTGCTCCAGCAAAAGAAAGTTCAACAAAGAAGGATGAAGTATTGCAATGCAGGAAATAAAAGACTGAATACAGAGAAAGAAAGAAAAGCCCAGCATGGAGGTGCAGAGTGATTCAGGAATCAGAGAGCAGTCAAGCCAGTTTGGAGCAGGTCAGTGGGTTCTCAGAGGGACTTTTCAGGGATAGGCAATGGTATCCTCCCTGCTGTGTCTGAATACCTGATGGAAGATAAATTAAGGGCAAGTTCAGGGGCTGGGGCTGGGGCTCAGCGGTAGAGCGCTTGCCTAGCATGTGAGAGGCGCTGGGTTTGATCCTCAGCACCACATAAAAATAAATAAATAAAATAAAGGTATAAAAAAATTCACATCAATCTTTAAAAAAAAAATAAAGGACAAGTTCATAGAAACTAAACAACCACCTCTGCAAAGCAAGAGAAGCCTGGATTTGGACCGGAGGGAGTCCAACAAGAAGCATAAATCAATTGCAGTTCACCACATCACTCTGGGTAGCATTCACCTACTGGTAAATGCAAACACTGAACTTTGATCTAACTAGGATTACAGCACAACTATGCTAGGAGGATGGGAGATGGGAAGGCTGAGTGACGTGGTAGATAGAAGAGTTACAGCCTCTTTTTCCATGCAGCACAATTCATGCACAATGCCTAAAACACTGGAAAGTTCAGGATTTTAGCTCCACGGAAGTAGTGGTATCAAGATATCCCACTCAAAGAGACAGGGAAAGGATAGAACAGCTTTCTTATTTAATAATAAAGCTTATTTTGGTGTGTGTTTAATATTGATGATACTATTTTCAAGCGTGGCCATGAGTGACTGGCTACCTTATTCGTTGTTGGTTTCCCCTCTACAGAAACATCCTTTCTTGTTAGAGTGGAATTGTGATAACTACTGCATCCAAGATTAATCCATCTATTCCTGGTTTTGCAGCCATAAGATTTAGGACTGTTTTCATATAAACCCGGAGGTGTTCCAAGAAGAATGTCAATACCCTAGTCCTAAATTCCACCTGGTCCAGACATGGTGTATCCACCTGGCAGTCCCTCAGATCTACTCCATGCTTGGCCACTCAGGACCCTCCCACCTGGGTAGTTTTAAGGAATTTCTGGGAGTGAGCGGTTTGAGGAGAAACTGCACAAGGATATCGGGTGCATTAATGGAGGATGATGGGAAAATGTGTTACAGACTAGAAAGTGGGGTGTATGTGTTCTGTTGAAACTCAAGCACCCCAGTGCTTTGGATCTGTGACTCCAGGGCTCACAATATCCACAAACCTCAAACTTAACATTACATGGTCTAAGAATCAAGTCTGGCTCCGTGGTTTTAACTTTGATACTTTAAAGAAAAAAGATAAACATAATATCCAAATAATCAACATCTTGGGTTACTGATAAAGAAAATGAAGATGATTTTATAGAATTGCCTTTTTCTCCCACATGTGACTTTGTTTATTATCTTGTTCTCATTGTGTATGCAGGGGAAACTGCACGTTCCTTGTGAAGATGGCCTGAGAGCTGAGCTCTCTGTTTATGTGTTTTCAATTTTGCAGAGCAGCTATGAGTGTCTTTGGATCTGAAGTTTTAAGAAAACTTACCTTTCTCTGAAAGAGAGCAGCTGTCATGACAGGGCCCTGTCTCTGCAAGGGGTTGAAACACACTGTGCATTTTCTCTCCCAGGAATACCAGCCTTGTAACACCAATGCATGCCCTGAGCTGAAGAAGACCACGCCCTGGACGCCCTGGACACCCGTCAACATCTCTGACAATGGCGGCCACTATGAACAGCGGTTCCGGTACACCTGCAAAGCCCGCCTGCCCGATCCCAATTTGCTGGAAGTGGGAAGGCAGAGGATTGAAATGCGGTACTGTTCCAGCGATGGGACCAGCGGCTGCTCCACAGATGGTGAGGAATTGTGGGAGGGAAGGACTGCTCCTGGGAGGCCTTTGATCTTGAGTCTAAGGTCATGGAAGAACACGGGTAGTGTGTCTTTGTTATTAATTGTGGCTTTGCAGTCCTGATCACAGTGATCCCTGCAGAACAGAGTGGACTTCACAGCAAATTGAAGGGGGAGACACTTACTATGAGAATTTAGGTATATACCCCCTTGTCCATGGGGGGATGCATTCTTAGCCTCCCAGTGGTCACCTGAAACTGGACAGTACCAAAAACCATACAAACTTGTTTTTCCTTGCACACACAAGCCTATGATAAACTATGCACATTAAGAGATTACTAACAATAAATAATAATAAAATAGAATACTTATAAAGATATACCATAGTAAAAGTTATGTAAACGTGTCTCTTCCCTGAGTCAACACAAGCATTGATACTTTATGATTGTGGTTGGCCATAAGTAACTGAAACCGCAACAAGGACACCATGATAGGACATGGTTCTGTGCATCCAGGCCCCAAATAACACTGTGCTTATGAAAGGTCCACAGTAGTTTGTGTCAGATTTATTTTGGATGAAAAAATACACTAAGGAAGGACTTTCTATAGGTTTTCTGGGACTAAAATATAAGGTGAAAATAGTATTTCAGTTTATTTATCCTCAAAGCGGACCAAGTCAGGAAGAGTGGATTTCTTTGTTTTACTCATACAGGATGTTTCTGTTAAGATGCACCATGTGTGAGAAAGCCATGGACTTGTGCCATTGCTTCTCCCTCTGAACTGGGCAGACCCCTGAGTGCCATGTTAGCAGCCTGGAGAAAGCCTGGGGAGGGAGCCAGACCTGCCCTCTGTCTGGTCCCAATGTTCCGCAGGTCTATCCCCTGGGCAGGTCACTTACTCTCCCTGGAGCTCCTCTCTCTGCCCTTGAGAAAGCAGGTTAGAGCCTGGTGGCCCCAACGAGTTTCAATCTTTGCTTTGCTCTTTGTCACTTTTTGTATTCTTCTGACGCATCCTCGGAGCTTGGTGTGATGAACACGATGACAGTTACATCTTGCACTAGAGCCTTCTCAGACATTTCCCAGCACTTCTGTGTTGTGGTTTTACTTTCATTCTCCAACATAAATGGGACATAGAAAGGGCTGGCACCGCTGATGTCATTTCTAAAGAAGGGGTCTTCAGGCCCAGAGGGGCTGGCTGCCTTGACAGATGCCCCAGAGCTGGGGAGCTGGATTGCAGTGCAGGATTGACGTGGGTGGGATAAATTCATGGGGGACAGTGCTTCTCCTCTGTATGGCCACCAGGAAAGCTCTGAGTAGTGGCCAGTGCTGCTCACAAGCCAAAGGTCCCCAGGCTGAGGCCTGCTGGGATACTGGGAGCTGGGAGCTAATGGACATCTGGGATACTCAGTGACCCCAAAGTTGTTTCAAATACCTTTAGCTATAAAAGTACACTTCTCATCCTGTACCTGTATTTGTTCTTCTAATTTACTTTCTATCTCAGACTAGACTCCCCATAGCTCAGCAATCACACAATCTTATTGTTAAATATATATATATATATAGATAGATAGATAGATAGATAGATAGAGAGAGAGAGAGAGAGAGAGAGAGAGAGAGAGAGAGAGAGAGAGAGAGAGAGTCTTCTTTGATAAAGGGTATCGGTAAATACACTATTGACATAAGTGAAACCAACACCATCCGCCTGGTGAGCAACAAAATGAGTCACTCTTATTAAGTTTGTAAAATTCTGCTTTTGTTAGAAGAAAGGATACATTTATTGAAACTCCCAGTGGAAGATAACTGAAGCCCAGTTTAAAGATGGACATGTTATAAGAGATAGCCTGGTAATCTCCAATTGGGGTTCTGAGACAAAATACAAGAATGTCAACAAGAATTTCATGTACTTTTCAGAAATTTTTTTTTCTAGTGTAAGTATGTCTCATGATTTTTTAGGATAATTAGGAAGTTTAGGAAGTTCATCTTAATTCATCTTATTTGCTAAGCTTGGCAATTCTGTCTCCAACTCGTTCACTTGTTTCTTATTTTAAAACAAACTGTGATCTACTTCTGACATCAAAAATCTAATGAGAGAGTGAGGGATGGTGTTCCTCTTTAATTAGCTTTGTTCTCCCTTCTGAACTTATTCCTTCCGTTCTCAAGACACATCTAAAACCACAGTTAATATCTGTTTTACACATTAATAATAAAATGTAGGGAAAAGATGCTAACACATTTATAAAAGACATCCTCTATTTTCCCCAAAAGTATTCCATGGATGTGGCTTAAGAAGAAGTCCTCCCTTCCTGTGTCTTCAAGGCTTTAAGTTCCATGACCATCCTCATGTTTTGCTGTTGAAATCTTGAAAACACAACAGTGCACCCCTCTGCCTCTGGCACACCACGTGAGGCTGCCTTGTGTGGGGTTTTTCTTTACGGATGACCAAGAAACTCTGGTTCATCCCAGAGGAACACTCCGAGGGCCTGTGTCCTCCTGAATTGCAGAGAGGGCCAGTCTCTGGGCAAACACTCAGGTGCTCAGCAGCAGACAGCCCTGGGTGTGTTTGTTTCCTCATGACCTTGATTTCCCTGAACGGCGTGGCACCACTAGAGAGGCATCATTTAAAATTTGCCACAGGGCCTACATTTGAGATAATTATCGAACATTTTTAACATAGCAAGGAGGCATGTTTATCAGAGCGAACACAAATTCTGGTGAAGGCTACTGACAAGTTGGAGGGCTGGGAGGAGGCCTGCTACAGAGCAGCTCTCAAGGCTGCCCACTGTGATGCCCAAGACTCTTCTCCCTGCACACCCAGCACGACTGCGCTATCACTTAGTGTCCCTGGCTCCCGGGAAACACATCTGTTAGTAAGGGTGCTCAGACTGTCATGGGTGAGTTTGACATGTGTCAAAGTGCATCTAGTTCCTGGGTATGAGTTCTCTGGAGTAGACAGACGAGTGTCTCTGTGGACCATGATTCAGGAGCAGTTAACTCAGCACCTTTAACCAGCAGGAACTCACATTTGAAAGGTTAACAGGTGCCAAACATGGTGTATGTAGCACGCCTGTCATCTCAGCAACTAAGGAGGCTGAGGCACAAGGATCACAAATTCAACTGAGACCTTATGCAACTTAGTAAGACCCTGTCTCAAAAATAAAAAGGGCTGAGGATATAACTCAGTGGTTAAGCACCCTGATATTCAGTCCTTGGTACCAAAACAAGAAAAGGAAAAGAATGTTAACAGGTAAAGAAGTAGTTTTAGGAGATGTCTGAATCCTGTTTCCGTTTTCCCAGGCTAGTGTTCTTCATGGTAACGGTGCATGAAGGCAGTTTGTAATAGAGTCCCAAGAGAAGCAAAAAAATTGTATATTCTTTGTAAGAAATTTCTACCAAAAAATAAATAAACTACAAATTCAACACCTACTAACTTACTGTTCAGTGTAAAGACTTCATTCACAAATTAGTTCCTATGTGCATCCTTACTGAATAGCAGCTTGGGAAAGAAGTCTGAGTAATGGGAGGCTGTCACTCAGCTGCAGTATTTTATTGAGGTGTGAAAGGCAAATTCTAGAGAGAAGCTCGGGCTGATGCAGACAGGCCAGTGTGTGTGTGGGCCCTGCAGGACTCCCATGGAGTCACACTCTGTGTTTCCCCTGCCAGGGCTGTCTGGGGACTTCCTGCGAGCCGGGAGATACTCAGCCCACACCGTCAATGGGGCCTGGTCAGCCTGGACGTCGTGGTCACAGTGCAGCCGCGACTGCAGCAGGGGCATTCGGAACCGGAAGCGTGTCTGCAACAATCCTGAGCCCAAGTACGGGGGCATGCCCTGCCTGGGCCCGTCCCTGGAGTACCAGGAGTGCAACATCCTGCCCTGCCCAGGTGAGCAGTGATCTAAAACGTCCAGCAGCAAGGACGGCCTTTTAGCTTACCCTGGCTCTCTGAGCTCCCTGGCCTGGTGTTGGGATACGTGTTCTTAAGAAATGTCAGATGATGTCAGCAGCTGTTGGATGAACCTAGTGAGACCGAAAAAGAAGAATAAAGGGGTCCTCTGTTCCCAGCCCACCCGCTCCAACTGACCTGAAGCCAAATCCCGAGTCATGTCCACCAGTACTAACACAGCCCCCTTTTCAGGCTGGCATGTGGCCTCACATCTCCAGGTGAAAAGGCCAGGCAGCATCTGGGCTGGATTACATTCCTTTTCCTCTTCTTTTTAAAAAGAAATTAAAATCTTCCTTAGAGCAATGCCCAGCAAGGATTGTGGGCTCTGGATCCTGTCCCTAACAGACATGTTGGCCCTTCTGATGTGGTCTGGAGAGAAGTGATGTCCCTGAAATATGCATCAGCCCACCTTTCCTGGGACCTGAGGGACCCAGGCCTCCCTGCTGTTCTCCACCGGCCCCAGGTTCTCACCCAGGGTTGCAGGGGTCAGAGCTGTACCAACAGATGTCTGCCAGCTCAGTTCCTAGTCCCACTGTCTCCTGCCAGAGGGGTTCTACCTCAAGAATCCCATCTTCTGAAGATGCAGTCTCCTCTCCTGGAGGCTGTGCAGGGCTGGGAAGGGACCTGGCTTTTGGTTGCACTGAATTCCATATAAGCACAAGGATATTAAAGTGAGTTAAAAGAGCCCAGGGCTTTTGGATCTGCAGTTCTCCTACAACCCCTCTGTATTCCCTCTGGTATTCTGACTGTCTCTGCTCCCTTCTGCCATGGCTCCCAGGGGAGCTCTGTCACCTAAATGGCTTCCACCTGACCTTCCCACCGTCATGGGTTCTGTAACCCAATGACCCACAGCCACCCTGTGCAGGTCACTGGGTGCTGTCTGTGCCTTTTTCCTGGGTGAAAGCCCAGGAGTTCAGGGCCTGGGATGGTTCCACTGCAGAAACTCAGTCTTCAGCACAGGCTGGCACACCTAGAAACGCCCATCACAAGTGTTTGTTGAATGGAGAATGAACAACCAGCGGGTTACCCATCTTCCTTCCTTCCCCTGCCCATTCCATTTCCAGCACTTTTGAGCAGTTTGGAGGACCCACTGTGTGCTGCTCACAGGATGGCAAAGACACAGTGTTGTGGTCCACATCAAAAAGGAGCCTAGAGTTGGGGGAGAAGGCATCTGTGAATAATGTCAAGCCAGCATGGCCATCAGATGCTAAGATGGTGACAAGATACAGTGGCCACATCCGCCATGTACCTAGTGAGCTGGGAGAGCAACAGCTGCAATACACAGGCTCTTCCAACCTGGGAGTTAGTCAATTGACAGGAAGGGATGGGAAGTGGTGTGAAGGATCATTACAAAGCTGGGTACAGAGGTTTCAGTGGCATCAGATTTTAGCATCTTGTCTGGTAGTACGCACCGCTTTCTCAGTTTTTTGAGCAAGAAACTGGCTGTGGGAAGTATTTAATAAGCATTCATTGGATGAGGAGAGGTGCATGGATGCACGATGTATGGGTGGGTAGATGCACGTATGAACTTATGTATGTATGTTTGGATGATTGGATGGATGGATGGATGGGTGGATGGATGAATATTTGGATGAATGACTGGATGGATGGATGTATTGATGGAGGGATGATTGGTGACTGGATGGATGATGGATGGATGGATGGAGAGATAGATGGATGGATATACAGAAGAAGGGTGGATGAGCGTGCAGATAAAACTGGACACACAGTCCCCGGCTTTGTAGCAGAGGCGTCCTGTAATGAATGCCCCTGCTCTTGACAGCTGCACTGCTCTCCCGGGGCATCTCAGCCTGGATTTCTCCAGCCTCAGGAGATTCCTCCCTTGACTACCCACTTTCCCAGCCAAGATGATGCAGAGAATCTGGGAAAGGTCACAGAGCTGTTCTTTCCCACAGCCCCATGGAAGGGTTCTCCCCCTGGGTGCTGGGAGGGAGCCCGAGGGCGATATCTCTCGATTTGAGTCAGTGCTGTGAACTGGAGCCCTGGAAGCTGCCCTGGGAATGTCAGTCCCCTCCCTCCCACACCTCCCCAGGCTCCAGACACTGGAGGCTGCCCTGGTCCCTGAGTGCGAAGGCGGCCCCTCCGTCTCAGACACTCCATGAGCATCGTCTGTGGGTTGTTTTGTTTTCATTTTATATTTTTAGTTGACTTGGCAGTCAAACCAGAACTTTATATACATGACCTAAATATCTTGAAATAGCTCTGGCCTCATTTTCCTTTAAAAGCCAGGTCCCATAGAGTGTCGTGGAGGATTCAGAGTGCCATGCCACTTTCCACTGGGGAGCAGCTGAGTTCAGTCTGGATGTGCTAACGTCAACACTCTCCCACTTCCTGGGGGACTCCTAACAACTGGACAGACTAACTCAGCCAGAGAGTGGGCCGCCCCAGCCTGAGGGGGTGGAGCCGCCCACCTTCATGGAGCTTTTGACTTCATTTAGCACGTTCTCTTCCTCACAACTCATTCTGCTGGGTGAACAATGACAAATGATCATTGTATTTCTAAATGAAGTTTTTCCCTATGATTTAAAATGAACATAGACATAAATGAACTAGAGGAATGTAAATAACCTTTAAATCGAATCACTAACAATTCCATCTCCAGTTGTCACCCTGTAACTTTGAGCCAGTGCTGAAATGACCATTTCCTCTCCGGCTGTGGCCTTGTCTAACTAGAACCTTCTCCTCTGTCATTCACCTCTGACCTTGAGACGTGGGCGGTCCTTTCCCCTTCACACCTTTGTTTCTTTGTGGTGTGTTTGATTCAGCACAAAGACTCCAGACCCTGACTGACAAAGGCAGAGAAGGGAGATGGTTCCTTGTTGCTCTGTGGTACGGAAACAGGATGAAAGCAACCTCAAAGCCTTCCTGGGACCCGTGTGCCCTGACAGGGTCAACATGCGCTCCTTTGATCAGATTTAACTACGATGGTGATGGTTCCTCTGAGGGAGAAGACTCTGAGGAAGTCCAAGTGCATCCAGGGTGTGTTCCCCAGTGACTCTGGTGGACACCTGCAGTGCCTCTCCCTGCTGGACTCCGGAGTCCTTGATTCCAGGAGGGCGACCTCTGCTCAGTTCTTGGGGAGTGGGGTGCCCTGCTCTCCTTCAGCTCTAACAGTGTGGTGCAGCGTTCTGGGCATTGATACCATAGCACGTGTGCCCTCACCCTCGGGGCTTTATATCTCTGACTGTGCCCAGGATGCCCGGTGAGTGGATGCATTTAGCTTTCCTTGGCTCCCTTTGATTGCTGGCAACTCCACTTTGCAGTAGCAATGAAGAGTTGGCTAGAATTCCTAGACCAAAGCTTGTGCCCTCTTCTGTCACATTAATCTATCAATTTTATTTGATCAAAACCCATTCCCTGCAGTTAATGGCTTTGATTCCTTGAGGGAAACATGGCTCTGAGCTTGGGGATGTTTGTCCGATCTTCCCATGAACCAGCCTTTCAGAGGCTCAATGACATGGTGATCCCAGCCACAGGAGATTCCCCCATGAATTCTCTGCATAGAAATGGCAGGAGTGACGTCAGACCCACACTGTTGGTGCTCCTGGTTCTATATGTAGCCTGCCAGCCTCCCATCCAGAGCTCCCAAGTCACTCGTTCTAGAATGTTCCCCAAGGCTGTTGTGAGGACCATTGCCACAGTGACTGAGCTCATTATTATCCTTGTGATGCCCAGGCTGTCCCATCCCTGACCTGCTGCTCTCCACTTAGGGGCTCGGGTTGGTGTCACACCTTGATTCAGCGGCACGTCCCTTCTTCCCCACGTGGAGTTACACAAGCCCCTCACAGTGAGTCGGCATCATTAAGCTTTGCATTCTCTAGTTTCAACTTTAAAAATACTAGAGACTTTCTGACGTGAACTCATGCTCCGTATCTGTTTCCATCTGGGCAGACCACCTCACGGCTAGGGTCAGTGACCACCTCATGGCCAGGGTCAGTGCTCCAAGGTGCAGGTGGAAACCTGTCATACGAGGAGGACACCCTTAGGAGGACATGACCTGCAGGCCAGCTGGGAAGTGACCTGGGGCTCTGGGCAACTCCGGCCCCGTGCGGCTGCCTGAGAGTGGAGCCTGGGCTGGACTCCCCTTGAGTCCCTCTGCACAGAAGCAGCTCCCCCCCAGCCCGTAGAGCATGTGCCTGCAGACAGGGAAGTTCAAGTGGAGCTCAGGGCGGAGCACAGGGTGAGCTTGGGTTTGAGCTCCCTGGGGGCCACTTCAGCAGCAGGATTCTGCCCAGGGGCTCCCCAGAACTTCAAGCAGGAGCCGTATTCTCATTCAATGGGGTACACCACCTTGTGCCAGGAGGACTTGCTCATGATCCCAGAGGGACCGTGGTATGGGTGAGCAGAGGCTATTAGACCAGGTCAGATGTGGACTGGCATAGCATGAATGGAAATGTGGGAGGGATAAATAAATATCCCCAATATCTCCGGATAGAATGAGTGTAGGAGATCACAACATGATACCTGGTTATGGAAAGATTGTGAAGAAGCGCACTAGTGTTTTTGTTTTTGTGTTGAAATAAAAGCACTTAACATGAACAGGTCACTAAATGCATGATACAGTGTTGCTGGCTACAGGCCCAGGGTTGTACAGCAGATCCCCATTGTCCCTTCTTCCCCACCCCTGGGAACACCATTTTACTTGCAGCATCTATGAATTTGACTATTTTAGATGCCATGCCTGACTTACACAATACTCACATTCTGCTTGACTTATGTCACTTAGCATTATGTCCTCCTCCATGCTGATCCATGTTGTTGCACACGGAGAGATCTCCTTTTTGAAGTCTGAGTAATATTCCATTGTATCTATATACCATATTTTCTTTATCTATGTATATTGATATTTTAGAAGTTTCCATATTTTAGTTGTTTAGTAATGTAATTGCTGATATCTCTTAGAGAGACTAATTGCAATTTTTTTCTGGTGTACTCAATTTTTGAAAGTGAGATTTCTAGATCCTATGGTAATTCTAATTTTTAATTTTTTAAGAATCACTATTCTGTTTTTCATAAGCAGTTACACCAGCGGCACACAAATGGCTGCAGTTTCACCACATCCTTACCTACATTTTTTGTTTTTTCAATCATAGCCATCCTAAAAGGAGTGACTTGAGCTCTCACTGTGGTTTTGATTTGTTTTTCCCTGATGCTTACTGATTCTTTGCGTCTTTTCAGATGTGTAGGAGACTGGTCTGTGGGTCTGGGGATCCCAACCTGGAGAAGACAGGGGCTAATGTGAGCAGAGAGAAAAGGGCTCTGTTTATGAGCAGTCATGGCGGGTTCTGGTCCAGGAAGCAGTCCTGCCTGACATTCACGCGGTGAAGCTGCACAGTTAGTACCCAACCCTAAGTCTGGCTGCTGATGTTGAGATGACGTCTCCAGCCATTCAAACCTGCCACCAGCTCTGCGTGGCTGTACGGTTTGCTCGTTTAGAGGCTGCATTTATGGGGCACCCTTCAGTGACCTTAGTGGGACCATTGGATTTTTTCTCCTCCTCTGTCAAACCGTCATCCGACCCATGAGGAGGACTGTGACTTGAATTCCTGATCCGGGGCTTTAAGTCTTGTCTGGCCAACTACATGGTGCAGAGAGCAAGGGTAAGAGCTCGCCAGGGGTGGCCTTAGTGACCACAGTGTGCTGCGTGTTCCTTCTTGGGGAACTGGGGCTTTCGTATGGCATGCATTGTGCTCCTCTGTCACCTGGAGACATGACATGTTCAGAACCATTTTCTGAAAGAACAAAGAAGGGGCCCTGGAGAAGGAAGGGAAGGTGCACCAAGCTGTATGGATGGAACCTTCCTATGGCCGCACATGGCCAGGACTCAGCTGCTGCCTGCACCCACGCCTTCTGTAGAGCAGATTCTGTCTTCACCTCCGTCAGAAGGATCTGGTTGGGGTTTCTGAAGCATTGTGACCTTGTGTTCCTTCCCAGTGGACGGCGTGTGGTCCTGCTGGTCATCCTGGTCAAAATGCTCAGCCACATGCGGGGGTGGACACTACATGAGGACCCGCTCGTGCACAAATCCAGCCCCCGCCTACGGAGGGGACATCTGCCTGGGACTGCACACGGAGGAGGCGCTCTGCAACACCCAGCCCTGTCCAGGTGAGCGGACCTAGCCTGCTGCCCGACCTGGAGAAAACTCGCCTCTTTTCCTCCTTAAGAGAGAGAGAGAGAGAGAGAGAGAGAGAGAGAGAGAGAATGTAGTAATCCATAATAGTTTGGTTCCTTTTGACAAACTCACACATGCATGGGATTTGATTGACTCAGTCCCCGTTGCATACACTCCCTTTCCCTTCTCTCCTCCCTCACCCCTTTCTCCTCTTGGGCTCTACTGATCTTCCTTGTGCTCTTTTATTTACTTATTTCTGATGGGTGCTTTCTACATGTACTTACAGGGAGAATTTCCTGTGGTATGTTTATAAGTGCACATGCCATGGTTTTTAAAATCTATTCTACAACCTTTCCTTTCCTCCTCTCTCATCTCCATCTCCTTCCACTCCACTGATCTTCCCTATATCATTATGATGCTTGACCCCCATCTTTTTCCTTTGTTTTGGACTAACTTTCACATCTCTGGGAAAACACTCAACCCTTGACTTTCTGAGTCTGACTAATTTCGCTTAGCACCATGTTCTCCAGTTTCATCTATTTCGAACAAATGCCATAATTTTATTATTCTTTATGACTGAGTAAAACTCCATTGTGTATATAGACCACATTTTCAGTATCTATTCACCTGATGATGGACATCTGGAATGGTTCTGTATCTTAGCTACTGTGATTGGCAAACTCACCTCTTTCGGATTTGTAAATGGTGAGGAAGACGATGGTATCACATCATAGTGAGTCCTGGAAGGGGAACAAGTCAGTCCACAGGGGCACCCTTAATGTGACTTCCTAGCCATTGTTCTATAATCAAATCCTTTTCACTTTGTCTGGTGTTCAGAGCCTTCATCACATCAGAGGTGAGGGTGTGCATGTCATTATAACACCCAAACTCTTTGATTAAAAAATAGATCCCGATTTGGCCTTCATGTCTCTAATTAATACTAATGGCTCTTGGCAGCTCCTTGTTGTACTAGGGAGAAAGCCAGAAGAAACAAGCACCCGTGAGCGCCCCCTGGAGGCTGGAGGGCTGAGAGGGTGTCTTGCCTGCAGTCCCTTGTCTCCTCTGCTGGCCCAGGGCCTGGCCTCAGTCTTCTTCTGAGGATCCCCAGAGCTGCATTTCAGGAACACATGCTAAAAGGTCACGGGAGGCAGTAGGCATTCTTGAGGACACCTCACCCATGTTCGATGGCCTGTCATCCAGAGGTGGTGCAGTTAGAGAAAATATAAAGCATAAAATCAAATCAGTAACCAGATTATTTTAAAAATAAATAAATCTTAAAATATCTTACCTGATTTTTAAAATATCTTACAAGATTTTGTTGTTAGGGGTCGGCATGAGGACCAGAGATTCCAGGTGTGGCGTGCCTCACACCTGCCTCAGAACCTGGGTGAGGGAGCTCCAAGGTCCTGGGAGACACAGGTTGTGCTGAGGCAGCCTGCCTGCTGCAGAAGCAGCCTGGCTCCTGATACATGGGTCCTCTTATCCGAAAACCTCATAGTTTATTAGCTTGCTGCCAGGGATCTCTCTGGAAAGTTTCAGTCATATTAAAAAGAGCTTCAAGACCAAATTCTCAGTCATTTCAATAGCAGGGCCTCTACATTTTGAAGCAAAAGCTGTTCCCTTGACCTGGATCAAGGTGCACGTTGGATTTTCAAATTTTTCTTCCAAACTGCACAGAAAATGTACCCATTTTTAATTGGTTAATATCACTTAAATAATATGGAGTGTTCATTTTTAAACCTTTTTTCATAGATATGAGTTTCTCTTTTCACACATCTGTATGCCTGAGTGATTTGGACAGATTTCAGCCATTTTTCTGCATAGGACAAGGAATTCTTTCATCTCTCTTCTTCTGGGCTGACCCAAGGCGTGTGAACTGGCCTGCTGTTCTTTTGTGCTGGATCACCTGGGGTGAAATGAATCCTGCCCTGAGGGCATCCTGGCTTTGCTACATTGACTCTGCAAAACTGTTGTTAAACCCCAGAAAGTGTTTTAAGCTCCCATTCAGCCACTGGGGATATCTCATTAACACACCTTCCCTCTGTTGTCTGAGCAGAGTCCTGTGGAAATGTGCAGGAATTTTTCAGGAATGCATTTGAGGCTGCTCTTTGCAGGGGAGCTTGGCCCTGTGAGAAATGGTGATGTCATTGAGGATTTCTGCCCCCCACTGAGGGTAGTTTATTCACTGCTGGGTCTCATGGATTAGCTTATGGACTCTAAAGACAATTTTTATACCATTAAAATAAGGTGGTCTTTAGAAATGTTTATGGAAGCACATTATATCTGATTATATTACACCAGGTTGTTTTTGTTTTTTCCCCATCCTCATTTATTTTATTTACTGGACTGGTCAGAAGATATGACTACATCTTATTAAAAACATAACATGAGAACCATGTTCCTTGGCAGATTAATCTTAGCAGGACTTCTTGCCCCATCTCCCATCTTCTGTCCTCCGCAGAAAGCTGGTCGGAGTGGTCAGACTGGTCCATGTGCGATGCGTCTGGCATCCAGATCCGCGCCCGCCAATGCATCCTTCTGTTCCCTGTGGGTGGCCAGTGTTCCGGAAACACCACTGAGACCCGGCCATGCGTTTTTGACTCTAATTTCATCCCAGGTAAGCACAGCGGATTGTGTAAGTGTGAACAAAAGCATCCCGACATTTAGACAGAAAGTGATTCATGGGTCACAGTGTGGTCTCGGAGGCTGTGTCTGGTGAAGCCCAGATGATGATTGCATCAACTCTCATGGTTTGTAGGTGATAAAAGTGCAGATTTGTAGATAACTTCAGATTTGGACTGGAACTACTTCTTGAGTTTAAGATTTTTTCAAACATAATGCCATCTATAATTTATTGATTCTAATAGAAGATTTTTCTCTAAAAAAATGGAAATGTGTTATTTGGTTATTTTAATATGGGGTTAAGTGCTTTGGCAATATTGTGTGAGTATCTGCACAGAAAAAAAGGTTCATTCTCTATAAGATTGTTAATATATTTGGGGAAATTGATTTGCATCATGATTCTCACCTTGGAGAAGAAGTGGCTTGGCCTCTGGTTACAGATGGGGTATGGAACCAGGGCTCAGTTGTTGTGGGTAGCTCTTCGCCATTGCCTTCTCACAGATGGCTGGTGCTCTGCATATGTACACACCACGTAGACATGCCCACGTGCCCCCCTAGGACTATAGCGTGGACCAAAGCAAACCAACATATTGCAAAGAAACAATAGGGCTCCGTGAACCAAATTGTCTTCATTTCCCTGCATTTGTGGAAAAAATAATAGTATCTGAGAAACAATTATTAACCTTAGCCTTGTAAGTCACCTGTACCATGTAGGGTGCAGAACTGTGTTATTTATCTGTTTGACTATAGACATATTTTTAATTTTTGTTTTTTAATGGAAAATCAATGTAGGAGAACTAGACTCCTGAAATGTTGCCCCCACCCTGGTGGGAGTCGAAACACTTAGAAGACTTCTCATTGACATTTTGCTTGTGGAGTGTAGATGTGGCATGATAAAGGGCATCAATGTGCTCCTGGATATGACTTTGTTATGGTGACTTCCTTTGAGCTTTGGTGATTTGGCTTCCACTTCACTGGGACTAAAATGGTCTTGATGCAATAGAATAGTCACCGAGGAACAGAGGTCCCAGGGCTGGCAGGGGACATTCTAACAGGAATCAGCAGGTGCATTGGTTGCATCCTAAGGGGCCACAGAATTTTTTTTTCCTGTGATAATGAATCTTGTCCTGTCCTAGTCAAAGTGACTGAACCAATCCTTCTTGGGTTGTTTGAAACAATAAACAAATATAAATTTGTTTTGAAAACTAATCAAGCTTTGGAAACTTGGACTCCCAACAGATTAAAAAATCATTGGGCCTTTTGCAAATGAAACATTAATGTAAATGAACCTACTTCCCAACACCTTTATACATTGTGATTGGATTTTTGTTTTTCCAGAAGTATCTGTTGCAAGATCAAGCAGTGTAGAGGAGAAAAGGTGTGGAGGTAAGAGCTTCCTTTTAACTAGTTTCTTACTGGTATTCTGGTCTCTTCCAAATATTTCCTCCCCCTTCTGTCTTTCTTGTTTCTGCTATTGGCAAAGAATTACATGGTGGTGAAACTCCTGGACCCCAAATGTCTACCTTTGCATAAACATTAATGGTCAACATTTAAGATGTGGCACAGTGGTTCTCACAGTGGGGTCCCTTGACCAGCATCATCAGTATCACCTGGGAACTTAATAGACATGCAAATTCTGAGGCCCCAGTCAACTACAGAACCAGAACCTCTCTGAGTGGGCACAGCAATCCGTGGCTAAGTGAGCCCTGCAGGGGACTCTGTTGAATGCAACACTTGATAAACCAGCGATCTGGATATGAGTTCAGGGAGATTTTCCATGAATAAAATGAAATCCAAGGAGTTTGTTTATATTTATGTGCAAATCCATTGCACCTATCCTTGAATCTCCAGCCCACTGAAATGGCTATATTGTAATGGGGCTACAAGATTATACCTAGATCACTAGAGAAATTTTTTTCAAACTGCAACACTGAGTCTCAAAAACCACATTCTTTGATTCAAGCATATGGAAGTTTGGACTTTGCAGTCTGTACCTTCTAAATACCTTAAAGTTCTTGTTTTCATTGAAAATATGCCTGGACAAAAGACTTATCATCCAAAGACCAAAGCATAACCCATGTCCACCTTCATATCTGAGCCAATGTCCATATCTTCACATGTACTACTGATGGCAAACAGATATCAATGCCCACCACAATCCATTCCACCAGAGGAATCCAGAGTGCTCAGCACAGCAGGCTTTGGTCTTTGTTTTTGGTCACAAGGAAGTGGGGGCTTCCTAACCATGTTTTAGGAATGTACTTAGCATTAATAACTCATGGATTAGGAGATTGCTGTCTGTACATCCGGTTTAGTCAGCCATCTGTTAATGTGTCCAATAATTCATTCAAGAATTTTTGCTAAGCATCCACTCTGTGTTGATTTTGTGAGGAGCACCAAGTTTACATGGCAGACCCAAGAGGCCCCAACACCTTTGGAACTCATTAGGGACCCTATTGCCTAAGACAGGTCTGGACATTCATCTTCCCATGATATAAGTCATGCAGCAAGCTCACCAACTGGCAGTTGCTAATACAGGATCCACTTGTGAGATTAATATGCAAGGGCTTATATAAAATGATGGCAGTGGCTTCTAGTATCCTTTCATATGTTCAGATAGCCCTGTGTGCCAGACATTATATTCAGTGCTTCAGACAAGAAGTGTCCCATATGGCCCATACAAAGTGAATTTGCTAGGTACTGCCACCTAAAGTTTACATGGAGAAAAAGTAGAGGAGTGTTTGAAAGTGACAGTTTCAGATTCTAGAAGGACGTTTAGGTCTCATACCCTCTATTATACCACACCCACGGAGTCTGAAGCTGTGCTCCAGAATCAGTCTCTTGAACGATGCCTCACATTAGCAATGTGAGGTGCTAATGCAGCAGAATGAGTCATGTCAGGTCACGAGTCACTGTCAGATACATGGAGAAAACCACTTCTCAGGGATTTTGCACCTGGGAATTGTAGAAAAGGGATAGTGTCCATGCCTTTGTACTTGTGTCATAAATGGGGCCTGTGAAGCTCAGAGAGGTAAGGCACTGGCCCAGGTCCACACAGGTCATACTCAAGGGTGCAAGGGATGAGATCCTGGCCAGGGGTACAGTGGGAGCTTTAAACACATAGCACTATGGAAAAAGTGACCTGGTAGGATCTAGATGTCTGTGTCCAGGGACCTCAAGTCACAGCAGCCCTGCTAGGTAAGGATCTTGCTCAGCTCACAGTCCAGGGCTGTCAGCTGCCCTCAGTCAAGGGCAGGTCAGGAGTGGAGCAGTACCTAAGGTGTTTTCCCATTCTCAGGAGGCCAAGTCAGAACTTGAGGAGTCACATAGCTGGGCCACAGTAGAGGTCACTGGTCACCCATACTCACTGCCAGAGGATCCCATCACCTTGCCCAGGACAGGCCACCCTGTTCCAATTTGCAAATCCCTCTGGGGCCTTAAAGACCAAGGAGCTGTTCTGCAGACCCCTCCTGTACTGCCATGCTGCTCTGAGTCTTGGCACCAACTGTGCCAAGAGCTGTACAAACCAGAGCCAATCATGAGGTGCTATGGGCTGAATCACAGAAACTTTGATTACTCTGCATTGCCTTAGGTCTTTAAGCTTCTAAGAACTGATTGCTTTAGGTCTTTAAGCATCTGACTTGGACATTCCACAGCAGGTAAGAGAAGAAATGGATCCTAGCATAAGGCTAAGAGGTGAAAATAAGCATTTACCTAGCAAGGATGTTTGGGGATGTTTAGGGAGACAACATAGATGTGTTTTCTCAGTTTATTGAAAAATCAATAAAATTTTGCTCATAATATCATCCAATGAACCAACTGAGCAGTTGGTCTTTATTTCAGGTTTATTAAAAAAAAAAGGCCAAAAAATAAAATCATATTCCAAGGAAAGAGCCACACTAAACAGATTCAACAGAGATTCAATAGGCACTATTTTTTCCCTCTGTGGAAAATGTGCTTCTATCGAGATTTTTTAACCTAGCTATTTTTAGTTGCATGAGACACAAAGAGAACATGATCATCATAAAGATGTCAGCTGGTCCTGGCCTTCCCCAGGCACCTGCAGGAATGATTCATGCGATTAATGACAAACTATCTGCATATGGAGATGGTAATACATCTTCCATCTGTTATAAAAACATGAGTTATCAGTGCCGCAGAGAGTGCTTTTACTCAGTATGTGGTATTGACCCGGAGGCCTGACTCCTAAAGTATACAGAAATGAAAACTCACGTGGCATCATACCTGCTTAGGTACAGCTTCAGTGTTACAGTAAACAATTCTAGTGTTTGTTGGTGGGAAAGTCTCACCTGTCACAGCCCAGGAGCCCTCCAGCTGCAGAGGCTCCTGACAAAACCAGGAAAGGCCAGGCATCTGTGAGGTCCTTCCATCATCCTGTACCTGGAAGTGGAAAATTAAAGGGGTTGTCAGGGAGTGGGGAATACCTATGGAATATTCTAGAAACCTCCACCTGGATTGTCCAGCTCTCAGTGCTGAGTACTGGACTCCTGTGTAAAGAATTGCCTGTGTGTTTGGAATCGCAGTGCATTTAGCAGAGTGTTGGGCCTGGCTGACCATGAACCCAAGAGAGGGCAGGCTGGGTTCACCATGTCCATCTACCTCTACCTTGGGGGGCAACACAGACACATTTTCTCAGTTTGTTGAAAAATCAAAGTTTGCACAAAAAAAAATCATCCAGTAGGACCAACTGGTCTCCCTTCCAGCTTCTAGTCCATCTCCCAGGGCCCTGGGCTCCTGCAACATAGTGCCCACGAGCAGAAAGGAGCATGGTACAGGAGAAGGTTCAGGGTTCAGGGGAAGATGGGGAATATTCAGCCTCTACATCTAGCATGGGTGAGGCCCTGATGGGTCTCCTGTCCCCTGGGGCTCGGCTTCCCAGGGAACTTCTCAGCCACTCAGGGATCTGTAGGGATCAGGAAGGACCCTTGGGGTCCCAGCATGTAGTAGGACCTTGGTGACTAGTCATTAGTGGCCTTTGATACCAGGTGTCAGAAGGGGGCTGGTGCCATTGGGAAGGATCCCTGAGGAGTGAGCATTGGGAACAGGCATGAGGAACACAGGGCACAGGAGAGCTGCTCTGTGGGCCTCAGGGGAGGAGGCCTGGGCAGTTCCGGGGCAAACACCCAGGCCCTGGGTGTGGGGACAGACATCCAAGCCCTCTGGCCCCAAGAGCCCCAAATCTCTGTGGCCAGACAGGCTCCTCTGGCCTTGGGCTGATGCCCAGCCTACTTCTCCATTCTGCCTGTGGATCTGGGGTTGACCATCACAGGAGGGCATAGGGTGACACTGCACCTCCTGGTGGCACAACGAGGGGACACTTAGGGGGAAATGGGGATCCTCGGGGTGTGCTTTCAGCAGTGGAGACAGGAGGCCAGCAACCTGCAGGCGGTTACTCAAGCAGGGCCATTGCAGTGTAGGATGTCACCTCATGGTCTGCTTCTTGTGACTCTCCCTGAGCTGGACAATGTGAGAGCTGCCGGGGTGTTGGTGTTTGCTCCCTGAAATATGTGAAACTGATGGTGGTGCTCTCCCAGCACGTGGGGAGACCGACGTTTGTACTGTTTCTCAGGCCCACACAGGTAGGTCTTGGCAGGCTGCCTGATGTCACTCGAGCCACTTCTGTGTTAGAGGTTAGGTCCAAGCCTGCTGCAGGAAAGTCGCTCAAGGAGAAGAGGTGCTGATTAAATAGGAAAACAGTAGGTCAGGTCACCAGGTGACAGTATTTCATTCCTTTAACAAAAATTCTTGTTTTCTTTGGAGTAAACCATTTTCTTCAGGAGATCACCAAAATATCATCTAAGCAAAAACAGTGGTCCACAGGATGATATTGGCACACAGGCAGCACATGGATGTGCAGAATTCCTCCTGAAGGACCTGGGAGAGTGGCTGCCTTTAGCAAAGAGACATTTTTCCTTCAGAACTTTGGGAGTTTCTAATGTCAGTATTATATAATGCATGTTTGTGCAAGAAACGGAAAACATGAGGATCTATTTAAATGGAAACAATTTTTAAATAAGATGAAATAATAAAAGAGGGTGAGGAAAGCAGTTGGCATGACCATGTGCAGAATTTGGAAGCTGTCAGTGCCCTTCCTGCTGTTCCTGGGACCTGGCAGTCCTGGATTCAGGGAGCTCCACCTGTTCAGGGACGTGAATGAACTGTGCTGTAGAAACCCCAGAGAACAGAGATCATATTGCTCTTAGAACAGAAGAGTTCTGTATAAGCCTTCAAAGAAAAAAAAAAAAAGATATTCTGCTAGTGTATTCAGGTTTAAGGTGACTTGAAAAAAGTGATTATAATCCCCAAGAGCCTGCATTTAAATATGCTGCGCTCACTGTGGAGAAGTCTCCTGGTGGCCATAGCATTTCAAAGAGGAGCATGATCACGATGTCTCTAATTTTGGAGTGGGCTTCTCATCTTGCTCTTTTCTAAGCACTTGAGCCTTGGGGTAGCGCCTTCTTTTTGAGCGTAGCATGGCTGTGGTTCTGCCCTCAGAGTTCAACATGTTCCACATGATCGCCGTGGGGCTCAGCAGCTCCATCCTCGGCTGCCTCCTCACCCTGCTCATCTACACCTACTGCCAGCGCTACCAGCAGCAGTCCCACGACGCGACCGTCATCCACCCCGTCTCTCCCGCCCCCCTCAACACCAGCATCACCAACCACATCAACAAGCTGGACAAGTACGACTCCGTGGAGGCCATCAAGGTGAGGAATCGGCGGTGCCGGCTGTCAACAAAGGTCCCTGGTGTTGGTGCTGGTGATTGGGTTGGTGGAGGGTAAGGGGACCTTCGTGATCATCCACCTTTTAAGCTTGGTTTTGCCTGGAAAGACATGGCGTCTCATGTGGGGATAAACTTAAAAAGGGACATGAAGACAGCAGCACACCCACTGCGAGATTCCAGGTCTGGGGCCCCTGTTCAGCTCCCACCCACCCTTGTGTGGGGCCTGAACTTGGGCATCAGAGATGCGCTCCCAGCCGAGGCCCTGAGCACCACAGGGCCGTCAGACACCCACTCCCATTGCAGGAGCAGACCCAAGCTTCTTTGAACCTCAGTATGTTTATCTTTAAAATCGTAGTCTTCATCTTTTATCTGATGGCACACACTCTTGGCACGGTTCTTGTGATGGTGCCCTAATGTACAGGAGGCTTCCTGCATCTGCACAGAAGGCCACGGGTATAACCTGAAAGACATCAAGGGTCTTGTTCACCTCACCTGCTCTTTCTTACCACCCACATGGAGGAAGGGGGTTTAGTGAGACCCTGAGCTGGGTCTCACTAAATGCCCACATTCCTGTAGGTTGGGGACTCCCTTCACATTCTTAGGGAGATTGCTGTCTGCTCTCTGTTCCAGTGGTTCTCTGTGAAATTGGATTTCCTTCCTACACGACAATAGGAACATATTCGCTCTCACAGCTTTGGGTGGAGGGGAGAACTTGTTTCCCAGGAGCTGTGTGGTCCTCCCTTGTCCATTCCCTATTGTGTGGCCTCCACTCCTGAAGGCACAGCCCGTTGGCTTTACCCATGGACTCTGCTTAAACCAGGGTCCAGAATCCATTAGCACTGACTTCCCCAGGTGACAGGCCCAGGGAGGGAGCATCGGGACTCATGACAGACCCCCATAGAAATGAAACTCCTAGAGGGCGAGGAAGAACATGTCTACTCTTATCAGCAAGAACCTTCCCAAGGCTTCCAGAACCCAAGAGTGATTCCAGCAGATCCACTTACCTGTGGTCCTGTTGATTCAGGAAGCAGAAAGGAATTTAGCTGGTCTGTGTTCCCATTTAAGATGCAGTAACTTTCAAGATGATCAGAAATGCTGCTGCCATGAAGCAGAGGAACTGGAGGGTGTGGATTACTGCCTGGTCTTTAATAATCCTTCTAGAACTTTATTCTGACATCTTGTCCAGGCGGGTCCTAAACAACTGGCCTCTGCCCCTTCTGCTACATCTTTATTTCGATCCTCTTAATATTTACTCTCTATTTGATGTAGTTGTTCTCTTTGAAATTACAGGTGACTTTAATGACTATTAAGGAGGTAGCCATCCATGTTCAGAGATGGCTGCATCAGTCACCTTCTGGGGCAGAGAGAAAAGAAATCAAGGCAGTTTAATTGGATGCCTTTGCTTAACTATGTTCTGTCAAGATCTCTGATGAGTGTACCAATCCATGGAAATCGGGAAGCCACTTAAATGTATACTTAGACATATGTGGTGGCTTTCAAAGTGTCTGCTAACTTGAAATCATTCAAGTTATGGTTTCCTAGGGGTTTAGATTTAGGTTTTCTGACCCTCTACTTCTCTTCCTACTTCCAAGCTAAAGCTAAAAACTAGAGTGGAAGATACCCAAAGCAGCCAACCTTATTCTGGTTACTAGTCAAGTCTTCCACGAGGCAGTGGATCTGGGAAAATCAGTGGATGAGGAAAACTGTCAAGAATAGGGGAAGCCTAGGAGAGCACTCAAGTCAGCATAACGGGCTCCTAGTTATATTTCCCTCTGAAGTGCGACTTGTGAAGTATTCTTAAATCTTTCTATAATGTATTTTACAGGCATTTAACAAAAACAACTTGATCCTAGAGGAAAGAAACAAGTACTTCAACCCGCACCTCACGGGGAAGACCTACTCCAACGCCTACTTCACAGATCTCAATAATTACGATGAGTACTAGTAGCGCTTAGTCCTCGGTTTTTGTAAATCCTCAGTTCCTCAAAGCCTGTGCTCCATGACTGCCCATGTTTCTGAGGCTTCAGAGATAAAGTGTGGATAGACTTCAGGTGCATTTCAAGCCAATAGTGTCCCATTGCTGCGAAAAAAAATACACATCCTTAAAAGCAACAAAAATCTAACTGTGGCGTCGTGAAGTCTGGTCCATAACAAACACTTGATCATTGTGGAATGAGCCATGGTGTGACATTTGTTTTTTAATTATGTTCAGTACATTTTTCTAAAAACCCGTTGTTTCCATGAGCTTTATTTTATCAGTGTGCCGCTCATATTGGAAGGAATCTTTAGAAAGAAAAAAAAAATGTCTTTTTGCTTTTAAGAGTAAATCTTCCTGATGTTTTAATTTGAGGAAATGGGTCCTTTATCAGAGACCGCCTCCCTCCACAAGGTCCATCATATTTGATAAAACAACAAAAATAAAGTGGCCAGGCAGTTTTTCATCCTGGATCACCCAAGGTCCTGATCTGGGTGACACTGTGGATTCTCAGAAGCAAACTTGTGTTTGGACTTTCAATAATTCTTGCCCAGGGAAGCCCAGGGGTTCCACCTGACCTGGACCTGCAGAGGTCAGGGTCGACTGAGACGTGCTGCTGTGGTCTGGGGGCAGTGACTATTCTCCCTGTGCAGGGGAGCAAGGGGGCAGAGGCTCAGACACAGGCAGGCGTGGCCGTGGCTTGCAGCTTGCTGCAGGACCAGCCTTCTTCTGACCCTTGGACTGCATGGTGTTCCTGGGAGATCCTCGCCACACTGTTGGCCTGGAGCCTCCACCTGGCCATGGTGACATCCTGAAGAGCCGGCATCTAGAGGAACTACTGGTTCAGCATTTGGACAGACTGTATACCTTCTTTCTCCCTGCAAAGAACAATTCCGGACTTTTTATGACGCTGATTAAGGAAAGTATTAAAAATACTGAACTATAATTGAAAACAACCTTTTTTTTTTATTTTCCACGTTATGCCAAGCGTTGAAAGAACTGACATTTAATGAAATATCTTTTGTTCTCCATCTCCCTGATGTAACAATGTATGGCAATCAGCCCCTACTAGAGCATTAATGAAGTGTCAAGCTGGCTCTCCAGAGCCCACCTCAGTCTACCCTGACAGGACCCCCAGCAGAGCTGCACTCACTGCCCTAGGCCAAGGGAGGAGGGAGAGTTTTGTTCCGGTGCCTTCTCTTTACCCCAGTCTGCCTCCCATCCACCCAGTCCCACCAGTCCCACTCTTCCCTGCAGGGAGGCAAAGGCAGTTCAGGCGCACTTGGAAGTAAGGATGGACGACCTCCATGGTCTCAGCGTTGGTCATTAATTAACAATTCATAGTGTTTTAAAGCCATTGCTAGAAGTCCCCAGAAGGAAAAAAAAGATAGAAATTTTACACAACTGACACGTAGCATGTGGCAGCTGGTTCAATAATTATTGAAAGAACAAAATTGAAAATGTTCATCTGAATCCCCCTGGCATTGGGATAAAGGCCTGAGTAGATAGCTATCTCTGTTCTTCTTGATGAATGGACCTTCAGATCTGTGAAAATATATAGTACGGGTAGCGAAGAACAAGAATTTATTAGCATATGTGTTTTCACTATATCCAATTTAAAGAAGCAATTTCAGAAAATGTTGGAAAACTATGATTAATAATGAATATTGTACAATTCAAAAGATTCCCAAATGCCCAAATTTGCAGAAATAGATCTGTATTAAAATTTTAAGCATGGCAGGTGGGCTCTAGGAGATGTGCTCGGTTGGATCTGGAATGTTAGATTGTAAATGGTTGATGTACAGTACCTCTCCAGTGGGGCTCCATGTGGCATTTCATGCATTCTAGGCACACTGCAAAAGAGTCCACTGCTGTACACACGTTCTTAAAATCCACACTAACAGGTAAAATGCACAGATGGCTGGTTGGGTTTTCATTGTCTGCTTGGACTCTTTACTTTCCGCTAAGAAAAAGTTTTTTCACTCTGTAGAATGAACTTTCTCTCTCTCTCTCTCTCTCTCTCTCTCTCTCTCTCTCTCTCTCTCTCACACACACACACACACACACACATACACACACACACACACACACACACCTTCCCTTCTTGAATATTTTCTCAGTTTCAAAGTCGCTTTACTTCCCCTAAGAGGAGGGAGAAGGCTAAATTTCAAGAACTTGTCATTGGGCTTAATGGACATGTTTCCAATGGCATCTAAGTAGGTCTCTACTACCTGTATGTCAATGCAGGGTACACCCTCTGCACCCCAGAGCTCTCATGGTGTGGACAGTAGAAACCCTCTAGAGTACTACTGTGAAAAAAGCCCTTCACTCACTGCTACCTGACACTGTATTCAAAGGAAAATCGCCTCCCCACCTCACCCTCTCTCTCTCTTGTTTAGCAGAACCGTGCTTGGTTTGCTGTATTGGAGCTGGAGTTTGAGTCTTTTAACCACCTGTGGGCTAACAGTCCCCCATCACTGCACGGCTGTTCCCTGTGGGTACTGTGCACTCTCCCTGCTCCAGACCCCTCCTGTCTACATGAACCCTCCTGCAGAGATGTCTGTCTAAGAGTCTGACTGGACTTAGCCTCAGTAGGAGGGAAAGGGAAGAGGGCTTCTATGTGCAGAGTGGGGGCAGAGACTCTAAAGGGACTGAAGAGGAATTTGAAGCAGTGAAGGCTGTGAAGGTCTCCTCGCCAAGGAGTCACCTCAGTCCCTAGATAGGGTCTTCAGTGGACCAGCTTCTGGCCCCACTGGCCCATAGGCCATGCCAGAGAAAAAAAGAAGCAAACATGGGAACAATAAGTAGGTGCCATGGAAAGATGGGGTCTTGTCAATACCCGGTGAGTGCTAAGGACAGGCCCTGGGGGGATCACGGTCCACATGCACAGTTCTGTGGGCATGACCTATGGACTCTTCCAGGATCAGCTGCCCAGAGTGCAGCAGTCCGAGGCAAAGGTGTCCTTGTTTATATTCTTGCACAAAAGGGTGGAAATCATGGGAGCCAAAGCCTATTCCAGTGAATGTTCTGACCAGAGTATTTGGTAGAATTAATGGGTCTTGCCTTTGACATTGTGGACAAAGTCTTAGCAAGGCAGACTCTGTGTCCCCAAGATATCACTAAAGGTTACATTAAAGTTTAATGAGATGTTACGGGAAATTTTTTCCTAGACATAATACATCAGGGATGGATCCAGCTATTCATTTTGCCTAAACACAACTTTGATAGCATTTGAATTTATACTTCTTTACTCTATTTGTCTTGCTTTTGTAATGAATCAAACTAATTCCCCGAGCACTGGTCAAGCCATTTCCCTCATCTGCATGGCCCCAGGGCCTTTGACTTTCTGTAGCTTTGAAGTGTTCTTTATACTTCAGTGAGACTTTCCTGATTTGAGTGGCATTTGGGGATAACTCCATTGAGTTTAGTGTCTCTGTCTCAGAACATGGCTCTAGAGCACCTTCCGGAGGCAGCAGGTAACACAGGTTGATAAAGTGAACTAAATTAACATTAAAATTGCCATTTCCCAAGTGACAAGCTAGGTCTAAATCCCACAGCTCAAATAATCAAATTAAACTAGTAACGTGAAATGAACTCTTATGCAAACTTCCTGCCATTGTTTTTAATGACCCAAGCTGGAGTTTGCAGATGGAATTGGCCATGACCAGCACATCCATTCTTCCAAAAGCCTCCATGTCTTTATGGGGATTTATGCTGACATGACATTGTCAATATTTGATTACCTATTATTATCCATGATTATCTATTATTGGATACTAGAAGCCATTCTGAGCACCCTGCTTATTTGGACAATGAGTGTGAAACAGTAGTGTGCTTTCCCGTAAAATGTCGCTAGTGCCTTGTGGAAGATGATGGAGTACCGTGACACTCAATAGTGTGGGTTCCAGTTAGAAGCAGACGGTCGATTGGATATGTTTTAAAGAAAATCATCCTTACACACCACTCTGAACTCAGGAATAGAAAATGACCAAGACACACTTCATCTCCAGGTGTGCATTTGCTCCCACTGGGCAATGGTGTGTTCAGAAAAGTGGGAAACCCCACCTCAGTCTCCCAGAAACTGACCTGGCTCTAATTCCTACATCTTCCAGAACACATAGCAGCATCTGTCCTTAACAGGAAGGTCAGTGTGATGCCTGTACAAGTTAGAGACCTTGGTTTCTGTTCCCCTCCAGGCAAGTGCACAGGAAAAGATTAACCAGACACATGCTGCTAATAGTTGGTACAGAGCTGGGTGTGGAAGGAGGACCACCTAGAACGTTGTCTAATTGATTATTTTTGTAGATTCAATGTCAACACTGCTTCACATATTTGCAAAAGTTGTTAATTTTTTTTTGTTTGTTTTAAATTTAACAATGTTTTCTCTGCTAAAGTGGACTGCTTTTGCTTTATACCATAACCGTGGTCAAAAATCAAGCTTGAACTTCTGCACGTGGATGGAAAGCAGCACAGGCGCCTCAGCCCCAGCACCTGGAGACACCTACAGCAGCTCCGCCCAGCTGCTAGGAAAATGCACAAGCTTGGTCCTGCACAGGGTTCTTCAAAATTGTGTAGCAAAACCTGTGTGTTCTGCCACTGATTCGCATTTAAACATGTTACGCCTCATTTTGTGTTCACCTGCTGTTGCCTGTTTTGTGATACAAAATAAACTTATTTGGGATTGTTTCATTTTTTTTTTTTCATTGAAATTTCTCCAAAACCTACTCAGCTTTTGGTAAGCTTGCAGACATTACTGATATAAAATTAATTATTAAAATGCAATGTGTTCTAAACATTGCAGGGATTTTTTTCAAGAATGAAATAGTTTTATATTTCCCCTTTCTTTGAGGAAATAGGACATTGGTAGTTGTGTTGGAGTGCTCGGGGATGCCTAGATTTTTTTGTGGGGTCACTGGGCACACTGCACTTTTTCTCGACACTTGTATTTGGTCCTCAAGGTTTCCTTTGAACACTTCTTGGTAGACATCTGCAACAGCAATTTCCAGTGGGCATCACTTTTTGTCTGTTTTCTGTCCATCAATACGCTGGTCTTAGATTCTTCCTGAGAGCTGTCCAGGTCTATGCCTCACATTGTTGCTTAATGATACCTGACAGATAACATGGTTTTCAGAATTAGTTTAAGACACTAATTGTGGCAAACTGGGCAGGGAGCTCTTTCTGTCTTGCATTGGATCAATTATGGAAGTTAAAAAGGATCTGGATGGGGTATTACCCAGCCAATCAGCAAAAAACAACTCACACTTGCTCCAAGCTCCTTTTTCTCCAAGGAAAATGGACACACATGAGATGAAGTGAGCTCTTCTAGCAGTGAAAATGTTGTGTTCACTCACATTCCTGGTGCATCGCCAACTTCTAGAGCTCAACCTCATCCATCCTTTTATGAACAACAAATTCATGCAGCATGACTCTGACTACTCCCGGGAGTGCAGCCCTCTTCCTTTCACGGCCACTCCCTCCTCACTCCTATCATCTCTGTCTGCCTACAGTTTGGGGGAACAAAATAAGAGAATCTTGATGATGTACAGTATAAATTGTATTATATTTTTTGTACGTAGGTTTTATGTAAATAGTTTGTCTCATTCAATTGTACGTGAGCATTGAAATAAACCCCACCATTTAGGAAAAACAAGAGTACCATTTTCCTTCTTATATCCTCCAAGTACATGTCTCCCAAGATGTGCCACTTAAAAGAGAGAGTCTCATCAGAGTGCACTGGACAGCCTCCTGGGGAAACCAATAACACACTCTTGTTGTCTTGGTAGATGTGCGACAGCTTAGGCTCTTGACTTGTGGCCAGGACAGGACTGTATGTACTTGATGAAGTAGGAGAGAACATTTGGAAATATTGCCATGGGCAACAGGTACTTCGTGACCAGAAAAACCAATCAGATTTCCTGTTTACAAGGAGTGGGTGTTGGGTCCTGGTGATGATGGAAGGATTGGGTTGTACCAATCACCTTTTATCCAGTGCAGTCTTCCACTCTTCCTTGCATAGAACAAGGATGATTTTTAATCCAGAGATGTGTTTATGGACATCATCTTTCATGTTTTCACTTAGACATATTATACAGGTAAGTATTATATTTGGTTATCCTGAAACATTATTTGTTATACTGGTTTTTAATTTTACATAGACTTTTAAAGTTTTAATTTGGTATTTTTTTTCAATTTTTGTTTTTTATTTATTCTATTTGGTTATACATGATAGTAGAGTGCATTTTAACACATTGTACATAAATGGAGCATAACTATTCATTCTTCTGGCTGTACATGGTGATGAGTTACATTAGTAGTATGATTATATATATTAATTATGTCTGTTTCATTCTACTGTTCTTCCCAGTAAACTAGTGACAATCCATCAATCCATCAGTTTGAACACAGCTAGATGATGCTTGATGTAGAAAAACAACTATTGAGACAGCCATATTTCAATGTTCATGATATCATTTAAAAAGAAAAGAAATGCATACATGTGCGTATTTATATAGTTTATATATACACATGTGTTTATACCTAAATATACATGGGTATAATTATACAAACAAAAACATACACATTTTTCAATTGACCAGAAAGCCAACAAAGCTCACTTAATGTAGGGGCTACCAATTAACATAATAAAATAAAATCAGCTGTATAAATTTAAACTAATAAAGCATATTATAAAGATTAACTATTTTATCTTCAAAATATTAAAATTTTAAAGCATTTAATGAAGAATGTATCTGGCTATTAATTTAGCAAGTAGAATGAATACATGCTGTATCACAGTTTTCTTAAAATTCGTTTACAGAATTTTCAATCGTGTTAATGATATATGACCTGGTGTTCGGATGCTCTCCAACAATGCTCAGGTATCCAAGAGCTCCTTTTAGAAATTTCTCCAGTTGCTCCTATGAGGTTGAAATATGACTTGAAATATCTTCCTGGACCTATTTGAAATATATAATGTAATTCTGCATTTAAAGTGTCTCTTCAAGCCCAGTTTGTGAAGAACAGTAGAAATGCCTGAATGTACCACTAGTGTAACTGCAGCTAGCTACTTGATGTAAGAGGAAATCCTTCTTAAAATAATATCTGAAACAGTGTTCTTTTCTGGAGTTATTCCTGTTTCCCTTAAGTAGATCTGACTTTGTTTATAAAGTCAAACAAAGGAATATTCATAATTGTTCTTGTCTCCTTAACCTGCTTGTTGCATCTTTTCCTTGGAAGCTCCTGGGGTTCTCACCTCAACCTGTAGTCACAGGTGCGGGGGCCAGGATTGAGAGGAAGGAGATCACACGGGGTAACAGGGTTCCGGGAGTTGCCCAGATCTGAAGACTGTAGGTACTGAATGCATAGCTGGGGAAAAGGAGGTCTAAGGTCATTCTTTTTTGAATTATTTCTGTACAATGAGCAGGGGCTGCAAGTTTGTCTCTAGTTCTTAGAAATGCTATTAAGAGTCTGAAAATGAGTCTTATCACAGCACTCAGAAAAGAAGGCTGAGTTAGGCCTTCTTAATTCTTTGCCAGCACTTCATCAGTCAGGTGTCTGCGATGGCCTTTTCTGAGGCCATGGTTTCAGGGGCTGTCTCTGTCGTGAAGAAGCTGGCTTTCTTCCTATTCACTGTCCCCCATCTTGTCCACCTCAGAGTCACTTCCTGTTTCCTCAGAGCCACTTCCTGTTTCCTGCTAGTACATACCTGGCACATGGCACAGGCTCTCTTTGTGTCTCTTCGAGGCCCTGCCTGCTCTGGTGGGCAAGCCTCACTCTTCCCTGAGAGAAAGGTAGTGGCAATGGCAACATGGAGCATGGTGGTCATCCATGTGAGGAATACTAATGGGCTGCCATGATGGGACAGCCATTCACAGACTGGATTTGATGCAACCCTGCAGCTCAGAGGGCCCGCTTCACCCAGTGTCACAAAACACGCTGTTCTGCCTTTTGTCTACCCCAAAATATTGGCCCTTTTTTCTAGCTGAAAGTCCCTAAAAAACTGGATTTTGGGAAATAATGCAGTAGACTTGGAACATGAAGTTATCTTAGGATGTGGAGATACAGAGAGTGAGTGGATGCCTTGAGGACTATAAGTAGGTGCCATCTGGGCTCCAATCAGGCCTGGCGACTCCCCACCAAGAGTGCTTCCTTGTACAGCCTCCCTCTCTGCAGATTTTCCTTCACCCAGAAAGAACAACATGAACTTCAGACTCCTGCCTGAGACTGTCTGTGGCCTCTTTAATCTCCATGGGCTCTTCTGAAAGGGTTTCATGATAATGAACTTATCCAACTTCCCTGGCTCTAAGACATGTCCTGATTCTGCATTTAGGAGATCTTTCCATTCTACTCTAGAACCATTATTTAAATATGGCAGTATCAACTAGGAAATGTGTATATGAAAATAAAATTGAAATGTGTACCTTTGACGCTTAATGTATAGTAGGTTTGCAGCAAATGATGGTGTTGATTGTCATTAGTATCACACAAGGACTCTCTCCATCAATATTCATCATCTCTTTACATGACTACAGGCCAATTTCTCTATTTTGGCCTGTGAAGAAGCAAGTGAACCAATTTGCAAATTATTAGGAGTTGGCTGCGGAGGCCCTGGAGACCTGAAGGGAATATATACTCCATACAAAAGAGGATACAGTTGGTAGGAGGCCTGAGAATTCAAGCCTGTGGTTATCAGCTATGGAGGCCAGTGGCATTCTCTGGAAACAGCTGTCACAAACCAAGACTGGGACTTTCAACACTATATAATTTAATCTGTCCCATATCTGTGATGAAGGAAATTAACCTAGTCACAGGTGTGTGAAACATGCCTCATTTCTGAAGACAGAAGAGATCATTCCTATATGGAAAGGGGGATTAGACTTCTCTTCATTCTTGCCCACATAGCTTTCATTTTTTTTGTTCCTAAAGCAGTCTGATCTGGTGAAGGAAATACAAGCATCTTCGCAGAATTCTTTCTGTCTTCTCTGGGGAAATAGAATCCAGCGACCTGTCAAACTCTAGGGCTTCATTGTTTTATATCAAAGCTAATTTGTTTCTTAGTGAGGAGTCTTTCTGAATGTTGAGCTTTTTCTGTCATATACTCTTGAGATAAGACTATATTATCATTCATAATGATTATTGATAAGATGGAAAAAAATGTGGCAAAATATCAGAAGTGCAGAGTCTAATGGTAGCAAATATTTCCTAATTAAGTGCATCCTTTCAGACACCTAATAATTTTGAAATGTGAGCTTTCATCGATGACCTGATCATGGAACTGGCTTTGTATGGCAGGTTGAATGTTATCTGGGAAAGGGTAAAAATGGAGAAACTAATTATCAGTCTCTGATAATGACAGCAATATCCATGTGGTACAGGGTGACCGAGACCTGAAAACTGGACACACCAAAAGATAAGCATTCAGCCACATAATTATGATTATTTTAAAAAATATCGTTTGAAATATGAGTGCTTTCCCTGTAGTCCTCATAATGAAGCCACCAAGGCCAGGGAAGCACTGGGGACTCAGGCCTGGTGTGGCAGTCCTGGCTGAGATGTCACACAGAGGTGAACTGGGGGTAACATGTCAAGAGGGGCAAGAGAGACCAAGGTGGCTAATGAGCACTTGGGGAAAGTGTACACACATGAAAAATACAGATGGAACTCAACTCATCACGCACAACTTAATGTCCATTTATTGACCACCAGTGGATGGAACTGGAATTTGGACAAAGCAAAGCAAAGTCCAAAACACAAAAAAGTTATTGGTTTTTGTTTTTCCTAGTACTAAAAACTATAAGTGCAAGGGAACATCATTTTAAACAAACTTTTATGCATTTTAGGAATATTCTAAGGAAACTAAACAAATGTCCAATAAAAAGTACAAGAAAAACAGTAGAGTAGATGGAGGGGAGAAAGAGAAGAGAGAAGAAAGTGCTGGGCACTGAATTAGAGCAAGTGTGTTCCCTGTATTTGTGATTATGTCCAAATGTATCCTAGTGTTATGTATAACTAAAAACAATCAATTTTAAAAGTGCAAGTTATGACTTTACAAACTCAGATAAACATAAATGATCCATTTCTAATTTATTTCAGTTAGCTACAATTATGCCCTACATGGTGGAAAATTGACCCTGTTATTCATGAGGGGTTTTTCCCCATTGTCCCTATCCCCAAGTGGATACAAAGCTTTTGTGGTAAGAAGAAGACAAAGCCCTTGGAAGTGGGGTCATTGTTAGCATTTCCCGTTGCATAATGCAGATTCTCGTGAAGATACTCCAGGCCAAGACTGCATGCGCCATTCATCATCAGCAGATCAGCCTAGAAAACAGGGTGCATTTGATGAGCCTGGGGCCTTCTGAGATGTCTATCATTCCAAGAGGCACAATGAGTCACCTCCATGAAACCTGGCCTCTCTACATACCACCAACACAAAGTGGTGTGTGGCCCTCTACTGTCCTTGAGAATCCTGATACATCCCACTCCCAGCCAGAACATCTTCATCCTTAATGTTTAAAACTTCATCATTTCTTGATATATCATATTTCACATTTTGATTCAAGTGGGTTATGCACTCCCATATTGCCCCTTATACAGCTTGCAGAATCACATCAGTTTCACTTCCATTGCTTTACATATTGCCATCCTAGTGTCTGTTGTATTCTGCTGCCTTTCCTATCCTCTACTATCCACCCTCCCCTCCCCTCCCCTCCCCTCTTCTCTCTCTACCCCCACTACTGCAATTCATTCCTCCCCCTTGTATTATTTTTCCCTTTCCCCTCAGGGGAGGGGAGGGGAGGGGAGGGGGGATAGTAGAGAATAGGACTGACAGCAGAATACATCAGACACTAGAAAGGCAATATGTCAATCAATGGAAGGGTAACTGATGTGATACAGCAATCTGTATACGGGGTAAAGTTGGGAGTTCATAACCCGCTTGAATCAAACTGTGAAATATGATGTATTAAGAACTTTGTAAGGTTTTTGAACGACCAACAATAAAAAAATAAATAAATTAAAAAAAAAAAACTTCATCATTTCTAGTGTAAAGCTCAATTACTCTCAGTATATTCATGAAGCTATATAACAGCACCAGTTTATAACTCCATAACATTTTCTCCAAAGCAAAAAGAAAATTCATACCCATGAGCACTCTCCTTTCCCCTTTCTGCAACCTCTGGCTACAACAAATAAACTATTGGAATCTATGGATTTGCCTATTCTGGACATTTCATATAAACTGAAGCATACCATATATGGCCTTTTCTAGCATTAGTCTTTCACTTGGTGTGTTTTAAGGTTTATTCATGCTGTTTGAATTATTATTTGTTAATGAGCTAATAATATTCCACTGTGTGGATATACCACATTTTCTGACCTATTCATCAACTGATAGGCATTAGTTTGTTCCACCTTTAATTATCATGATTAATGGTACTATGAATATCTGTGTAAAAAATTCACTGAGGAGATATTTTGAATTATTTTTGGTATGAATCTGGAGTACAATTGCTGAGCCACGTGGGATCTCTATGCTTAACAGCTTAAAGAACCACCAGACTATTTTCCAAAGTGATTGCCCTGTTCTGAATTGCTACTAGCAATCTAGGGCATTTCAGTTTCTCTGTGTTTTTACCAAAACAGATTTTGATTGATTATTGTCAACCCAGGGGTGTAAAATGGTGTATATTTGGGTTTGACTGACATTTCACTAATGACCAATGATGTTTATCATTATTTGCCATTTCTTTATGATACTTGGAGAAATATCTATCCAGATCATTTATCTATTTCTAAATTGTATCATTTACCTTTATTGTTGGACAGTAAGACCTCTCTCTATATTCTAATTAGCAAACCATTGCCAGATACATAATTTGCAAATAATTCATTTTATTTTGGGGATGTTGTTTTCTCCATTTCAGTGAAAATTTCCTTTGAAACACTAAAGTTTTATATTTTGATAAAGTCTATTTAATCTACCTTTTTTTTCTTTAAATGCTGTTCTTTAAGTGTCATATCAAAGCAACCATTGTCCAATCTAGGATCATGAAAATTTGTACCTATTTCCTTCCAAGAGCTTAATAGATTTAGATTTTATAGTTGAGATGTGAGTTTATTGTAAGTGAGTGAATTTTTATATATGGCATGGGATAAGAGCTTAGCTTAGTTCTTTTGCATGTAAATATGTGGTTTTTTGAGGATTATTTTTTAAAAGACGACCTTTCTCCATTGAATTATCTTGAAACCTTTGTCAAAAATCAATTGACTATGAGTGAATGGATGAAAGAATATCTGGACCCTTAATTCTATTCTATTGATCAATGTTTACCCTTATGTCGTATGACACTGCCTTAATTATTATAGCTTTGTAGGCAGATTTGAAATAAGAAAGTGAGTCATCCAACTTCATTCTTAATTTTAAAAATTGCTTTGGCTATTCTGGGTTCTTGCATTTCCAAAAGATTTTTGAATAGTTTCCCACATTCTGGGAAAATACAGCTTAGATTTTGGCAGGAATTGCACTGAATTTGAAAACCAGCTTTGAAAGTAATAGCATCTTAGTAGCATTGACTCTTCTTTGATGAAGAGTCACTTGTGCCATTAAGGATTTGTGACACCTGTGACCAAGTTCTGCCTATTCAGGAGGTCTAAGCAGCCATGGGACAGTCAGGTTCTATTCTGATTAGCACACAGGAGTGAGCTTCCTCTCCTTGAGGCTTCAGTCATGGACAGAACTTTCTAGACCCATTTAGACTGTGTGTGTCCAGTCCTAGGATGGATGAGCTGTGATAGCACAGTGTTGAATTAGCCACACCAATTCTCCGGAGACATACTCCAAGTGTGTAATGGCATTCCATGATTGTCATCCCCTGCCTGTCTTAAGAGCAGCTCCATACAGGACTTACTGCCAGCTGGGCATGTCTACAGTGACACATGTAATAGGTAACAGTACCCAGGTTTCTTTACTGAAGCATAAACTCCATGTCTTTCAAGAAATTCAATGGAACCTCTCAATTTTACCCCAGGACAGGTCTTCATCATTGCAGACTTGATAAATCTTAAAAACAGAGTTGTAAGACACCCAGATCTGTGTGCTGGTGTGACCAGATGTCCATGTAGAGTACAGATGGTCTTCATGAATAAACCCTAGAGACCAGCACAGACATTCTGCAATTGCTCTCGACCCTGGAGAAGGGCATCCAGAGATATGATTTACTGGATTTGTATGAGAACAAGTCCAGTGGGGAAGGGAATGCTTGAGAAAACAAAAGGTCAATCCCAAGGGTCTGATTCTAAAGTCAGGACAAGAGAAAACTAAGAGAGAAAGAAAACCAAGTAAGCCCTTAGTCAGCAGAGATTTAATTCAAACAAAAAAAATGTGAGTGGTGCTTTTTATAAAATAAGTAAACACTGAACTTTTAAAATTGACATAGTTGTGGTTAAAGGAAGATATACTTTATTCAATGCAGCACTTTATAGATTGAAAGTCTTTTATGAACACTCTCATGGAGACTAAAGGTGCAATCCATACAGTGATTGCCAACAACAACAATTTCTTTTAAAAAGGTCTGTGGAGGGAAGCAGCGTCTGATTGATTGGCCAGTTCTGTTGCATAGAGCTTGACAGGTCTACTGGAGGTCACAGGTTTGTTAGCTTCATCACTGTGACCAACAGACTCGACAAGAACAATTTAGAGGAGGAAAAGTTTATTTTGGGCTCATAATTTCAGAGTTTCTTACCCAAAGTCTGCCAACTCCATTGCTCTGGGCAGAGGTGAGGCAGGATACCATGGCATAAAGGTGTGGTGGAGAAAAGCTTCTCAGCTCATGGTACCCAGGAAGGACACACAGAGAGCGGAGGTGAAGGGAGAGAGAAATGTCAGGAGCTAGAGACAAAATATTCATCCCAAAGTCACCAAGGCTTCTTTCCTCCAGCCACAACCAGCTGCCAGTCTTTTCAAATTATTAATCTATCAATGGATTAAAAGCTCTTGTAATCTAATCGTGTCACCTCTGCCACTCTGACATTGGCAATATCTCATATCCAAACCACAACAGCAGGCTTGGTGGGGTCAGCGCTTTCTCTAAGAACCTGGAAGAGGGAACAGGTTTCAGTGTCCAGAAAGAGAGGATGAAAGGAAAGAACAGAAAAGTTCCCTGAACCCCGATAGGTCACAATCCTGGGAACTGACAGGTGATTGCACTTGATCCTGGGAAGCCATCGACTAAGCTGTGTCCCCAGCTGGGTGTTCTCCATCAGTGCAGCCTCACCAGGCCCCACTGGAAGGATCACAGGGCAGTACTTGGCAAATGTGTGCTTGTCACTAGAGATAGAAAGAAGAACGGAGGCTGTTTCAAGAAAATAGGAATACAGAAAACGGGCAAAAACTTGAAGACAGACCCGCCCTGTCAATTATGAAGCCCACATCTGCCTCTGCTCCTGAATGTTTGTTGACCCAAATAAATCTAAAGAAATTGAAAACTAACTAATGGGAGCAAACTGCCTGGAGCTGTAGAAAGGGAAGCTCCATCTCAACTTGCAGGCAGCTCTGATGTTGTGTCTGAATTGTCTGAGACAGCAGTTATGGACAGAAAGATGAGGTCCCCTGTCCCCAAATTCACACTTGGCAGCCCAGATGCCCAAGGTGGCTGCCTTTGGAGACGGGGCCTGTAAGGGTTAAATGAGATCCTAAGGGTTGTTCCCTGAGCCAGTAGGATTGCTGTGCTTGGAAGCAGAGGCTTGCTGCTCCTCTCTCCATGCTGAGAAAAGATCATGTGGGTCACCAAGGGTAGGTCCTGTCCTACAAGCCACGATGAGTGACATCACTAGAAAATGGCCTTGCTGGCAGCTTGATTATCACCATACTGGAAAAAGATGAGGTCAAGCTACTGACTACCACTCTCCAGCAAACAGTCAACTCGAAGCCAGAGCTTTTCTTAACTCAGGAGCTGAAGTCAGGATAAGAAGAGGAAAAAAACACTCAGCACCCAGCACCCAGCCCTCCAGAGGATCACAGGAAAAGAGAGATCCAGTCAACTAAAAGTAACACAGTGTGGACTGAGTCTGACCACCCCAGGAGGCCGGGGCTGGAGGGAGGGCGCCCTGGGTGCCTGATGGGAACTGCACATTGCCCCTTGAAGTGCCACTAGGCAGGGAAATATTTCCCACTGTAATATGGTATGATAATTAATTCACCTGCTCTGAAACATTTCCCCCAAATTTTTGTGAAGCATTTTTCTTTTCTCCAAGTACCTATCTATCATTCTGTTTAAGTTATTTGAGAAGAAAAAACTGAAAAACTGTGCACGTGCTCTTCATAGCACCGAGTATATGTATTTCAAATCTTTCAAAGGCAGCAACACTCATGGCAGCCTGGTGGGGCAGGCAGTAGGGTGTGGCTGTCCCCTTGATGACTGAAAGTTGTTCAGTGACGTCCCTGAAGTCTCAACAGAAAAGTCAAGGAACCAGCATCGATGTCAGAATCGTCTTGCTGACTCTGAAGGAGAGAGAGGAAGAGGAGGAGGGAAAGGGGGGAGGCAAATGCAGAGAGACAGGGAAGGAGGGAGCCTGAAAGACAGACGGGCAGACAGATGGAGAAGCAGCCAGTCTGCTCCAGCAGCTCAGGAACTTCCCCAGGAGCCAGAGAGAAGGACGCAGTAGAGGTGCAGCATGAAGGAAGGGGCAGCTCCCCGCAGGGCCCTGGGCCCCTCTCCATGGCGTGGCACTTCTCTGTTCCTGTGACCCATGTCCCTGCCCTTACCATGAGTCCTAGGAGGATCTTCTCCAGCCCTGTGGCCCACTGAGCACTCAGCACCTAGAAGGTGCTCAGGAGATGCATTCTGAGTGGACGAGGGAAGTGGAGAAGCATGCACAGGTACATACCCTTGCAAGGGCAGTGTGACAGCTGTGGGCTGCATTCTGAATGTAGAAGGACTCACGTTTTCTCAGTGGACCATGGGAATATGAACTCACAAGTGAGCGTGACAGGAGGAGTCTGTTTCAGACTGAAGCTCAGATTCACGTGTCGAAGTCCTTCCCCCCCTGGGTGATGGTCTTGGGAGATGAGGCCTCTGGGAGGTAGCTAGTCCTAGAGAGCTCTCTCCAGCAGGTGAGGATGGTGGATCTGCCAGAGCTCAGGCCTTGGAGTCCTCAGTCTCCAGAGCGGTGAGAAATCCGTGTTGTTTCAGGCATCATGGCTTTTATCCGAGTCAGTAGTGTCTAGTTACAGCCTCTGAATGAACACAGGCCCTTTCCGGATTGGGAGGAACATATTCATGTGCTTCTAGACAATTTTATTTCAAATCATGGTGACACACACCTTTTTAGCCCATACGCAGGGACATCACTCATCTTTGGAGGGTCTTAAGCTTATATAATTCACAGGGTCATCTGGGAAAAAGTGGGAATATAAAATAAACACTAAATGCCAAGTGTGAATGTAAGTATTTATTTAGTTTTAGGAAAGATTCACTACAAACTTCAAAAAAATTTTTTTAAATGATAGAGACCACATTTTAATACATTAAAGATAAATAATAGAACATTTCAATTCATTCCCTGCCAGACACACATCTGCTACATTTCTCCCCCATATTTCTTGTTTGCATATACTTCATCTTACATCACATTTATACTTTCCTATTCTGAGAATAGAAAATACTTGTTAATCAAGGTTGTTATGATTTACCAATAACATCAATGTTTAATCTCACATCAATTTTCAGTATTTTGGCCATATTTGGGGAAAATTCTATCAGCATTCACCAAGTATGAGCTAAGAGACTAGGAAAATCCTGGCCCAGCTGACTCCCTCACACCCTTCAGGTGCTGCGTGCTACAGGGCAGCTTCTCTGATCCTGCATCTTCATGCCAGCTCATGGCTGGCCTCCACAGAGTAAGGGCAAGTACTCACATTCCTGCAAGAAGGCCCACAGTGACTTAGCCCTGTGTGGAGGTGACCCCAAACCTCATCATGCACTTACCTACCTAAGCTTCTTCTCCGACCCTCCTGAAATGCCCACAGCCACTCCAACCTCACTAGTGCAAGAGGATCTGAGATAGAGCTGGAGGGGAAGGGAAAGCCTTCTGGCCTGCACTTGCAGTTGCCTGCTCTCATCCTGGAGAACTCATGAGCTTGTGCAAGTGAGGGCCTGATGCTATGAGGTGTGGAACTCCTGGTTCTCCCTCTGTGGGAGGCTCCGGCTGGAAGATGGGAAGTCAGTGAGGGTTGTTTGGGCAGCTGTAGATGTGGTCCTTTCAAAGGGCCTGGAGCACTGATGCACAGCAGAGGCACAGTCTCGGGAGTTGGTCTGGCTTCCAGCAGTGCCTCTGCCCCTCTGCCTGGGTGGCCTTGGGGTGGTCCACCAGCTTTCTACCTCAGGGAGGATAATAGGAGCATTCATAGTGCAAGTTTATTTTGATGATTAATTGAACTAATACATGCAGGGCTCATAGGAAAAACGCTGGTTATGCAGGAAATGCTCAACAAATATAGGTCAGTGCCATGATTGCTCTTGATGCAACTCAGAGAATAATTAAGCAGTATTTGAAGAAGTAGCATCTTTATTCAACATCTCTTGTGGCCACTCGTATGTTGAGCTTTATTTTTTTTTTTTTTACATTTTTTACTTTTAATCTCACGGTGTTTGAATGAGGGAAATGTGCTCCTAAGAGAAGGTCAAAACAGATGAACCTTACTTAACAGGGAAGTTGTGAGGTGGGTTGGTCAGAAGTGTGTTTGGGGGGTTGTTTGGGGGTTCAACAAAACACAGTACGTTGTGCTTATCCAGAACAGAGGTGCCACTGGGAAGGTGTGTGGAGATTCTCACCTGCTCTGTTCTGTGCACCCTGGAGTAACCAGCCTGTCAGAGCAAAGCTTCCTCCCGTCCTCGTCCTCCCATGGACATGGAAGGGCTCCTTCAAATGCAGTGGAACCCTGGCTCTGGGAAGAAAGCCGTCTGTGGCCTAGGTGATGCGTTGTTACTCGTATGTACCAGTCCAACAAGGGCTGGGAAATCCTTTAATGTGTTTGAGAAATATGAACCAGTAGTCAAGGTAGCTGGTTATTTTAGAGCCACAATTTGATGGTTCCCTACCAAGCCAGTGTTGGCATTTAATTGACATGGTAACAGTAATTAAGAGGTTACCATGATTCCGGAATGCGGGCGCCACCCTCTTGAAGGGGCTGGTCCACTGTGGCAGGAGCAGGTTGGTGGTGACAGTAGGTGGGTTTATTATGGATTCAGCCGCTTCTCTGTTTTCCATGTGCTCACTTGGCCCTCTGCCATGTGTGACCAGCACTGTGATCTCACCAGATGCCAGGATCTCGACCTTGGACTTCCCAGCCTCCAGTCTGTGGGTCAAATCAACTTCTATTGTTCATAAACCACCATGTCTGTGGGATTCTGTTATAGCATCAGAAACCAGGGGAAGACAGTTGGTCTCTCTGCTCTTTATGAAGAAAAAGTTTTTAAAGGCAGGTAGCTTTCAGGGTCCCCACCTCAGTTACAGTTGTTTCTGGTCTGCTTTTCTTTATTTAAAAAAAAATGTTCCTCTTAGTTCTTTTAAAATCTTTTTTTAATCTTTTTTTAAATTTTTTTTTTAAATTTAAAAAACTTTAAATCCTTTTAAAATCTATTTTGATATACTTATACAGGCCTGGAGTATATCTTTTTCTAATTAGGATCTCAGTTTTGTGGATGTACAGACGTGATGAGAGTCGCTGTGGTGTGTTCACGTATGTACATGGGAAAGTTATGTCAGATTCAATCCACTGTCTTTCCTTTCGTATCCCCTCTCCCTTCCCTTCATTCACCTTTGTCTAATCCACTGAACTTCTTTTCTTTGGCAAAAAGGAAAAAAAAGCTGTAGGAAAAGTGTTAGAGGTAAAAAGAATAAAAAAAAAATGTCGTCTCTAAACTTTCCTTTCGAAAATGGATATGCAGGTCACCATCCAGCCGCACAAGTGCTCAAGAGCAGGGGGCACCCCGCCAAGGAAAACCTGTCCTACGCACAGCACAGTCTTTTGTCCATTTGACTTGGAGTGGGATATTTCACTTCATGTTTTCCAAAAGGATTGCAGATGTAAGAATTGGCAAAGTTTGTAAAATACACCAGAATTCAGAAAGTGATTTGCCCAGAGTGTTTTATTGTAGCTTGGAGGTGACGTGTGGAGAGTGAGGTCACCTGGAATGGAGGGTGCATGTGTCATTCACCTTTGGTGGGACTTAAGTGGCATGTAGTGCCACTTAAATGACAAATTCTTGATTTTGAGAATAATATGAAAAGAAATTTCTTTTGAAAACAAAAACAAATGTAAACACGTATTTTTATCTATTGTGATTTAGTCCAAAAGAGAAAGCCACCAACCAAAACTCAGAAGTCCAGGAGTTTGCAGCCAACCAGGATGAAGACTGGGGAGCTCACTGCACCAGGCCAGAGCCAGCCCAGGCCCCCCTTGGTGACCAGGAACTGTACCAGCTTCAGGGCCACAGAGCTGTTGCCACCCAAACTGGGCTGTCCAGCAGCAGGGCCTCAGGCAGATGCCCAGGGGCTGTGAGATGAGGCCAGGCTGTGGGGGGTCGGTGAGGAGACGGATGAAACCCTCCACCACCTAGAATGGGCCTCGCTGATTCCCTTGAAGGGAATATTTTTGAGATGATCTAATTGGCATCTCTTCTCCTGGTTCTCTGTGTTCCGACTTATCTTCTGTCTCTCTTGAACTGTGCTGTAAGACCTGGCTCTGAGGCAGGGTATGTTCCAGGAAAAGGCGGTGAGAGAAAATTCAGATTTCATCTGCGTTCAGTGTGGCCATTTCCACATGAAAGTCCCTGTGCTCCCTCCAGTGCAGAAAGTGGAGGAGGCGCGGAGCCCGACCTGCCCAGCTCAGAGCTGACGTGACCTTGGACTGGGAACAAGAGTCATGTGGATCAGGAGCCTCTGAGGGTCCCTGGGTCAGGAGGCCTGGTGTGGCTGAGCCATCGGGGGAGAGTGATGAAGGGCAGCATGGAGCCTAAGCATCAGACTGGAACCTCCGGCCAGGTCCAGTGGGAGCAGAGGCCAGCTGTGGCTGAGATAAACAGAGGACTTGGCTGGTTTCAGGGGTCTTTTGAGCTACCTGAGAAGTCCTGGCGAGGTGTGGGGAAGGTTGTGTAATGCTAGCAGGAAAGAGCCAGGGCGAGCACAAAGCTGACAGTCCCCCGCCACCCTCCACGTCCTGGAGCTCGGAACCCTGGTGGGAGGCAGCCACCCAGCCATGCTCTTGGAAGGAGACTTCTCCATGCGAGGTCTGTGAGTCTCCGGGAGATTAAAGGGCTTGGCCTGACAGTGAGGAGTGAATGTATGGGGGGGTGGGGGGGAATCTGTCCCGACCTGTGTGTGGCCCAGAGCTCTCTGTCCCCTGAGACCTCCTGGTCTGGGGAACGGGGACAGCACCACTGTGGAGACGGCTGGCTTTCTCACAGGGGGGACTGAGTGGCAGTGATCCAGGCAGGCACAGGGCAGCAGTTACAGGAGGAGGGAAGCGGACCGGATCGAGGAGAACAGGGTCCCTCCTGGGGTGTGGCTGGGGTCCATCTCCCACCTGTGGACATGGGAGGAATGTGGCAGGGGGGCTGGGGCACCTGCTGGAGCCCTGGGGGCAGGTGGGGACAGGAAGGAGAGCCTGCTGGTGCCCTCCGCTGCAGGAGCACACTGCTCCACTCACCTCCTCCTGCCCCTGTCCCAGGAGCGAGCCGGGTCAGAGAAGGTCAGCATCTGGCTAGACGTGAAGGCGAGCAGCGCGACTGAGTTCTGGTTGTGTGGAACCAGTGTGGGAGGTCTGTCCTCCAGCAGAATCAACAGTCCCTGCACCTGCAGAAGGAAGTCTGAACACCCCCTTCTAACAGCCACAGGGAAATGGCCGGACAGATGGGGACAGCATGGCAGGCATTTAGGGGCATTTCAGTAAGTCTAACAATGCCCAGGGGTGGCCGAACTCACTGAGTGCCCAAGCCGAGTTCTTCTCCTGTCCTCTCCTCCTCTCATCCACCCATATCTGCTTGTCTTCCCCGCGTGGAGGCCACTTGTCAGATTAGATCTGGTGTCTGGGGAGGATTGGCAGCTCCCTGGATGAAGGTGATTCAGCAAGAACCAACAGCTCCCCAGCCCCCGCAGCACAGATCTGGACCCGCTCTCACAGAGGCCATCTCACGGGAAGGTACTTTTCTCAAATTTCAAGTCTTGATCTAAATTATGTGGAAAGCAAGAATTTGGAATCTTAAACAGATCTACCAGCTGTGGGTTGCAAGCCAGCCTGTGCCCAGTGTTCTCAGGGGTGCAGGACCAGGTGAGGCCTCCTGGTGGGCAGGTCTGTCTCCTCTGGGCAATGCTGGGGCAGGGTGGGGAGGAGCTTCCTGGGGATCTCTGTGACTTGCTGGGGGCTCATGCGACACCCAGGGCATGGGAATAGCAGGCTGCTCACCAGCAAAGGTGGGGACCAAGCACTTCCTGAAGGGCAGAGATGATAGTAAGTAGCGGCACATTTTAGGCAAAATAAAGAACATTCAAATGAGAAGAGAAAAGTCAAAGGATCAGGAAGAGGCCTGCGTGGAGAGCTTGGGTGCCTCTGTCCCCAAACAAAAAACCTTCCTCCCTAATGGCTTCAATTCCTTTGTTAAGTTGTGGGACACTTTCTTTTTAGAATACAATATTTATCATGGAACAACCAGAGATGAGACTGGCATGGTTGCAGTGTGGAGAGACCTGCTTTCCTTGAGCTGTTGCCCTGGACGTGGCCGCCGGCCCCAATCTAACGCCAACACAGGGCTGCTTTGAGAAGTCAGCACCCAGTAATGTCCCGAGAGGGCTGTCCATTTGTGGACCTCGGCAGAAACCACAGCACAGCGGGGAACAGGGTTTGTTATAGAAAGAGGGGAGCTGGCAGGTGTGGAGGGAGGAAGGCCCCTTCCATGGTGGACTGGTGCTTTGGTTCAGCCTGGACCTCTGCTGTTGGCAGTCAGCAGATGCCAGCTCACTAAGCCCGGAGGTGAGCATGTAGGGGCGACTGCTCAGGGCTTAGCAAAGAGCTAACTGTCTTTTTTATCTTAAAAAAATATCACTGTTAACTTTATAGTTTTGTCAGAATATTGTTTCTGGAAGCTCTGCAAAAAACAAGTTTCAACAGTGTCATAAAATTAAAATTAGGCCTAGATAACAATAAACCCTACTGTTGAACTGTATAATAGGATTTCGGGGCTTGTGAAGGCCATCGTTTGTGAGGCAATGAAATTTTACCCAACCCTAGTGGAAATGCCCTTTGAATCTGTTCTTAGTACCCTGGGGGTTAGCAGCTCACCTCCTGGCCAAGTTTAATGTGGCTAATGGAAAGAAAAGGATTTAGATGTTTGAAAATAATGGAGAGGGAAGGGTTTAGGGGGAAGACCCCCTTCATGTATCAGTCCTGCATTTACCCTGCCACACCTGGTCATTGTTATTCACAACATTTTTTATGGCTTAAAGGAAAAAGCAAGTTATCACAAGGAACTCATAAATGCATTAATTAGAGAGAATTTGTTCACATTTTGACCTATTTGGAAAGATGATAACCATATCTTCTTCTTTACCTGTGATATCCCCTTTAATGATTTAATGTGTTTTGAAGTAAACTTTTAGCCCAGCACAGTGGTACATATCTGTAATCCCCACAGCTTGGAAGGCTGAGGCAGGAGGATTGAGAGTTCAAAGCCAGCCTCAGCCACAGCAAGGCACCATTTAACCCAGTGAGACCCTGTCTCTAAAATACAAAATAGGGCTGGGGATGTTGCTCAGTGGTGGAGTTCCCTGAGTTCAATCTCTGGACCCACCCCTGCTAAAAAAAAAAAAAAAAAAAAAAAAAGTAAACGTTTATCTTGAGAGCCTGGCCTACGCTCTTACATCACTTGTAAAGTTCTGTGGTCAATTCTAGAGGTAAGACCCCTCTGTCCCTGCAGTCCACACTGCTCAGACTCAAAGCATACTCTATAGGAGTGCATTTATAGAAAAAAGTTGTATCTATGCTTTTACATCCAGAAAAGTCTACTGAAAATACCATTTTTTAATATAAGGTAAATAACTCACTAAACCAGAAGACTGTAAAAATTAGAATTGAGGTCATAGAAATTCTTATGGAGAAGTGGAAGGCATACTGGGAATCATGCAATGTCACTTCAAGGACGTCACGCTTTCAGGCTGAGGAACTTGGACCAAATTTTATTTCCCCACAGGTTCAAGAACTGCTGGTCCCATCCACGACGTAAGGATGAACAACTGGTGCTCACTGCTGCGAGCCCCATGTTCCTGTAGGAACTTTTTAGGGGTTGAGATTGGAAAGGAGCACCCCCTAGGAAAAATAACCCATAGCATGAGTGACATGGAAGAATCCAGACTAGAAATCTTGCTGAAAGCTCAGCCCCTGTCCCCAGGGCCAATCCAACAATAAGGACGCGATTCTAAGAAAAAGGACAACAAAAGGTTTATTGATTTGCTTAAGGAGAAACATAGGAGACTCCTGTCCCAAAGGCTAAGATTCTGCCCATCAGCAGGACCAGGGGGCTTTTAAAGAAGTGACCCAAAGGTTACACTCCACATATTCTCTTTCTGGAGTGGAAATTCACCTGTTAATCTGGGAGAGAGTCCTTACTGACATCTTCTGGCGCCATCCCCAAAGTCTGGATTACTTGTCCCTATGGTGGGTGTGTGTTCAGGGACAGATAACTCTGCCTGGGATGGGGAAGAAAAGTAATCCTGTGCCTCCTGAGATTAGGGAAGGGGAGAGATTAGGGAGGAGCAGGGAGAGGAAGAGAAAGAAACGTGTCCATTTAAAAAATGAATTGCAGTGGCAAGCAGCAAAGGCTGTATTCAACATAAAGGGGATCCCCGTTACAGAAACTCAGGTAAAAATCAGTCTACAAGAGTCAAAATGTTCTCTATCCACCCTAAAAGAAAGCGCAGATCTTGAAATGGTTAAGACAAGCTGCAGTAACATAATGATCACCAGGGCAAATCCCAACACTTTACACCAAAATAAAATCAAATCCAGCATGAATTAGCGATTTTTAGCATCCATTCACAACATAGTAAGCATGCAACTAAGCAAGAATCCTGATGCACATCAAGGAGAACAATTGGCTAGTAAAAACTCACCAGGACAGCATGAATAATGAAATCAGCAGACACGGGACTAAAAGAGCAACTGTGAATTTGCCTTTTAATACCTCAATTACAAAGGAAAGTTTGAACATATTAAGGAAAGTAACATAAGACATAAAATGAGAAATGAGACATCTAGAGAGGAGCTCTACAATTGAAACCAAAAAACTGCACTTAGAATATAAGAAAAGATCAGTGAACATGAACACATAGATATGGAAATGTATCTAAAATGAGGTAAAGAAAGAAAAACCACTGTAAAGGGAAATAGTATAGGAGGCGTGTGCAGCACTACCCAATCCAACACACATGACTAGTCTCAGAAGATTAAGGAAAACAGGTGTGGAAACATATTTGAAGAAATGGGGCCAAAAGTTTTTTTACAAAATTGATAAAAAGTAACCAATGTGATCCTGCAATCTGTACACATGGTAAAAATGGGAGTTCATAACCCACTTAAATCAAATGTATGCAAAATGCTATGTCAAGAGCATTGTAATGTTTTGAGCAACCAATTAAAAAAAAATTATAAGCCCTCATATCCAGGAAAGTCAACAAACGTCTCATGAAGAAACATGAAGAAATGGACCGTGAGGCACATTGTGACCACATCATTGAAAAACAATGATTTAAAAAAAAAAAAGAAAAAACTTTTAAAACACCTAGAAAAAAGTAACGCATTGCACAGAGGAGCCAGGCTGGGAGGACAGACGACTTCCCAGCAAAAATTGGGAACAAGGGACGGGGACATATATTTAAAGTATTGGAAAGGAAATGCAGTCAATGTAGAAGTCCACATTTAGTGACAGTGTTTCTTAAATAAAGAGGAATTAAGACTTTTCCATGCAGGCAAAAGATAAGGAAATTCACTGCCTATAATCTTCCTCTATAGGACAAAGTGTAAAACATGTCCTCCAAAAGATGAAGAAAAAAAATGCAGAATGCACAAATGGTTCTCAGTAAAGGAACATTGAGTGCTAGAAGTGGAGAGTTTGTGGCAATGTGTGTATGTGTGTGTGTGGGTATTCATATATATATATATATATATATATATATATATATATATATATATATGACATGTTTCTCTATACTTGTATTCTAAAGACATAATGAAAGCATAAATACATTAAGTGTTTATTACATATGTAGAATTAAGAAGTAGCATGTTGATGAGTAGAATAACAAAGGTGTGATATACAGGCCCAGAAATAGACCCATGTATTCAAGATCCTATAGGACAGAACATTGCCAAAGTAATTCATTGGGGAAGGAGAGGTGTTTTAAGACACAATCTGGAACCATGGGATATATCCATAGGGAAATGGAACACAATAATTTTATGCATTTCATATATAAATTCACTCATAATGGATTATAGCTAAAGGCAAAAGCTAAAAATGTCAAACTTCCAGAATGAAATCTTTTGTGACCTTGGGCAAGGCAAAGATGTCTTAGGACACTAAAAGTGTAAGTTATGAAAAAAATATGATAAATTGCACTTTGTCAAAATTAAACACTTTTGATCTATGAAAGATATTATTAATCAAATGAAAAAAAATCACCCACATTCAGGGAGAAAATATTTGGAATACAAATATAATAAATAATTTGCATCCAAATGATATAAAAACACAACCCAATGATACAACACTAAATAAGACCCAAAATGTGTACATGCACTTTACCACAGAAGATGTAAATAAGCTCAGAAAATAACGGTGGACATCTTAAGCTTAAAACCACTCTCAGATATCACAACATACTCACTACAAGCACCGATATTAAAAAACCTTGGCAATACTCTGTATTCGTGGGATTGAACAAAGAGAACTTCTGTGCATAGTTGGTGATAATACAAAATACATTGTATTGGAATATTTTTTTGTCACATTGGACAAAAGTTTGACATTTCATTAATAAAGTGATGCATGTCTATTATGCAACCCAGATATTTACTCAAAGAGAAATAAGAACATTCATTCATATAAAGATTTCTTGCAAAATTCATAGCATGAAATCCACAAAAGCAAAAGAGTAAAAAAGAGTCCCAATGTCCAGCAATTGGTGAATGAATAACCAAATTGTGGTATCTCCATAAAACAGAATATGGCTCATTAATAAAAAGGAATGAAATGCTAGCACACACAGCAACACCAGTGGGTCACAAGGACACAACAATAGGTGAAACAAGCCAGATGCACCCTAGAAACCACATGCTCTATGATTCCATTGATGTGAATTTCTGAAAGGACAAATCATGGAGAGGAGATTTGGATTTGCTTGGGTTAGGGAGTTGGAAGGAAAACATATACTCCATGGAGTAGGT